TTGCCAGGAGACTTCAAGCTCATCATTAGCCCAAACTAATCAAGATTGAACTTTTCAAGGCGATACAGTGATTCAAATACATTTACATTATTGCTCTCTTGTTTCGACTTCACCGACAAATTGTAATTTGTGTAGCGGTTCTCATGTTGTAGCGCTATTAGCCAGACATGCATTTGCGTATAATAGCTATTGCACTGATGTGGGCAGTGGTAGTGTTAGAGTTAGGACTTAAATTTAACATTAAGGGGTTACAAGTTACAATTTTTTATACAGTTTTTTTAAAAATCGGTCAAGTTTTATACAACAGCGTAAAAGTTTAAACTTGACCGTTTGTAAAAAGTCAGCGTGTTGGATGATTATTGTCGTAAAAAGAATCAAAGCGGTGAACCAATTGTTCCAAGCTTTGGCGACATTCCCTTCAAAGACAATGACAAGATGGCCTTCTTGACCAATCTCATGTTTGATGAAGTGGGCAATACCATCATTGAAAAGGTCAAAAGGTTGACTGGATACTTTTTATAAGCGTAAATTTACGCTAATTTTAAAACGGGAGACATAAAAAGGTTGTCCGTTTTAAAAATATTTTATGTAAAATTTATGACTTTGTCCAAGTTTTTAAAACGTAAAATCACATAAAATTTTGAACTTGAAACCCCTTATTGAGCAGAAAAAAAGATTAAGGGTACTCAAAGCAAGTATGTGGTGCTACATATGTGGCACCACATACTTTCAAATTTTGTTTTTGACAGGCAAAATGACCTACGCTGCCATTACAATTTGCCAAATATAATTCAATATGTCCTTTTCTTCAACTTGTTATGGTAATTTCCGTGTCAAAAATGAAATTTGAAAAGTATGTGACACCAGATATGTGGCGCCACATAGTACTTTGAGTACCCTTATTGAACATTGTGGTTGATATCTCCGTCAATTGTAGGTTACTTAACTTGTTTTCAAAATTCCCCAGGTGCGCGCATGCCCGCATGTTCTCTAGTGAAATCATAAATCTGTACACACCTGCTCCTGTATTCACAGAGCAAGAATATATAGTCTATTAAACTTTATCATGTAAATTGACTGAGTTATTGAGGTTTGAAAAAAAATCACGGATAAAAAACACTATTTTTGTACTATACATAAGACTTGGATCTGGGATATCTTCAATCTTTGTCAATATACATATACATTAAATTTGATAATATTTTCTGCACTACGTTTCTCCACATTTCTGTTCCCTACAGCCTTTGTCTATGGGCAGTATTTTTATATGTAATTGTGTATTATATACAGAAGTTGGATTTTCTGAAGTTCTTTGACCTTGAGGCAAATTGTGATGAAATGCAGGGCACAAATTAGGCTCAAATAGACCAAGATGAATGTAAATAATGATTTCCAAAAGTTTCTGCCATCAATGTATTCTTATCCTTCCTACAATCAAAGAATCAAGGAAATATTGGACTGCTCATGTAGAATTCACAATTACATATAGAAATATGCCTTTTGGACAAAGGCTGCAAAAATCAAAAATGTAGAAAAGTGTATTTTACAGTGGAATATAAAATTTATTTTATATGTATATTGATAAAGATTTAAGATATCCAAGATCCAAGTCTTATGTATAGTACAAAAATAGTGTTTTTTATCCGTGATTTTTTTTCAAACCTCAATAACTCAGTCAATTTACATGATAAAGTTTAATAGACAATATATTCTTGATCTGTCAATACAGGAGCAGGTGTGTACAGATTTATGATGTCATATGATGACATCAGAATTTTGGTGGTCTGACAGGCAAATGGCCCCACATGATATTACGTTGAAGTCATTTTGAAATCTTCCTGAATCTTTCATGAATCTTTCATGAAGCCGTGGTAATCTCTGGCCTGCCAGAGCCTAGTAGCTGGGGGCTGTGATAGAAGACTTATTGTTTCATCAGCGGGAAACGGCAAGCTGATGTAATTTACATAGAAGGTCCATTGATTCATCAGCCTAAAACCACAAGCTGATGAAATTTAAATAGAGGATTTATTGTTTTATCAGCCTAAAACCACAAGCTGATGAAATTTACATAGAAGATTTATTGTTTCATCAGCCTAAAACAGCAAGCTGATGAAATTGGTTGGGGGTTTGAGCCTATGGCGCAAAGTGTTTGTGGAGCAAAACCTTTACACAATGACAAACACCCTCACATACTATTCCAACAATATATATATATATGATAAAAACATATAGCACATCTCTATTACTCAAGTCTCACAAGTTCACAAGTCAAATAAAAAACCTTGTAGCATGTTGACAAAGTGAATAAGAATCATAAGCATTTATTCCATTATCAAAAATTGCCACAAGTTTAAGGTTTCAGATACCCAGTAAATATCATGAACCCTGCCTAGTCAAAGAAGGTTAACATTCAGACAAAAAGCAACCTACACACCTGATTAATCTAACTATCAATACTTCAAATGACATCTATTCCCAAGGGTATAGAAAAGTAATATGTGCATAGAAACCTATGGGTAGGGTAATTTTCTATACCCATAAAACATTTATTTTGATGTATGGTTGGTAGTGCCAAGAAGTGTCAGAGGTCAGACCAGCGGGTATTACTCTGCCAACTTGAGGCCAAGCAAGAAAACTCACTGAATTTGTGAGCCAAAGATACTGTTGGACTCCTGACATTGATGGCAATCCAGATATGCCATTGTAAATTCAATATTTGAACTTCTTGTTTTAGTTGGTTTCTACAACATAACTAAATCTTGTCTGGAAGTGTAGTTTTTGAAAAATATCTGGTCCAAGATTTGATGCTTCTCGGCACTAGCAACCATACCCATGTAAAAACTTTGAGTCGTGCAATTGAGTGTCTTCATTTGAGCCAGTTCAGCTTCATGTATTCAGACCCAAAAGAAGCCACCACAGTGCCCAAATTAACTAATTCCCTTGCCAAAGGCCCAAGGCTAGGGACTAAGTGAAGTTTGCCACAGTGCACAGGATCTCGAGTTCCCATTTTTTTGACATCTGATTTATGCTCATAGAAGATATTCTTATGAATTCTCAGCAGTGTATGTGAACATGTTGTACAATCTTGCACAGGTTGACAGGTGCCATTTACATGAATTGTCACTGGTTGATCATGCTTGCCTGTTGGATGAGGCTTGAGAAGCAGTTTGGTTATAGATTCAAATGTATTTTACATGGGTATAGTAAGTTGTTATCTTTGGGTATAGAACAGAATGGTTTGTATGGAAATGGATGATTTGATCTTTATGGGTATAGAAAAGTACTCTACCCATAGTTTTCTCTATACACACCACTTTTCTATACCCCTAGGAAAAGATGTCATTTGGTGTAGTGTATGCAATTACGCAGGCAGGTCAGACATGCAAGAAGCCATAGCATCGGCGGTGTTGGTAGCTTTCTGGGGCATGATGCGCCTAGGAGAAATTACGAGGCAGTCCATGAGTGAGGGAGTGTTAACTTTTGGCAATCTCAATTTTGAAGGCTCAGGAAATAAGAAAATTGCAATACTCACCCTGTGGAGGGCCAAAACAGCAAAACCAGGAGACGTCCAAATCATTTGGATCACATCACAACCATCAATCCTAGACCCGGTTGCAGCCCTAGAAAGACTGATCGAACAAAACCCATCCCACAAACCAGACAAACCACTGTTTGGTTTTGAAAGAGGAAAAACACAGGTCCCTCTCTCTAGACGTCGTTTTGTAAGCAAATTGGAAACACTTTGGGGCGCAGGAGGAGTGCAAGTAGGAGGATGGTTGGGACATTTGTTCCGGGTAGGCAGGGCGTCACTGCGCTGGAACCTAGGATGGGAAAAGGAAAGAATCATGGAACAGGGGTGGTGGAAGTCGCAAGCAGTTGAAACATACCTGAACGATTACTCCCCAGCTGAGCTGAAAGAGGCAAAAGACATCCTCTGGTTGATAGACAGACGGAACGTTTGAAATTGGTGCTCTGATGCCAAGCCGCGGTTGCTAGTAAGTGTTTGCGTTTAAAGTCAAGCAAACGAGTTAGACCATTGTACTCACTGAAGTAACGCATGATGCAGGGAAAAACCAAACACGTACAGGAGAACAATTAAAGTTCCAAGCCACTGAAACCTTGTGGTTTTTCAGTACAGACCGCAGATCTATATACTTAAACAAATGTTCTTCCCGACCATTTCCAGTACTCAGCTGCATTACCTGATACTTGATACCGTTACTTTTACCCAGCTTCTGATACTCTCTACATGATACTGATACTCAGCAATTTGACCAGTGCTTCTCCAGCCCATTTCCAGTACTTAGGCTTATTACTTAATACTCGAAACTGTTACCTTTACTTAGCCCTCTTTTTTCTACACACAACTTAATACCCTTAACCCTGGTCGCACACACTTACGTCTTGACCAGGACATGACACCACCGTCATTCTTCCCAACACTCCGCTCCGCACCGTCACTATATTCTTCATACAACTCCATAGCTCCTGCCACCTTTTACCTGCTATCAACCTCTTCAGTCCACACTACAGGCTCGCATCAACACACATCATGCTCCTTTAGTGGCTCCCCCCTCATTGTCGGCCGCGTCGCTATTAACCTTACCGCTGTAATCGTATCTGCTTACTGCTCCCCGAACAGTTCACTTTGCCCAGCCCAGGCTGATGCCGCACAACCCGTTCCTGCGATCAGCAAACAGCCTCCACCAACCGATCCAAATAATTAGGCCATGTACCATATCTCGCCGTGTCACTCTGCGCTAGCAACCTCAAACTGGTTCAACACCCTGCAATCATCCTCTTGACACTTTGCCCTCTTTCATTACCACCACTGCTCGCCTTTTCAGCGCATAAATAGTATTCACATGCTCATCGTATCGTCACAAATCACCCACCATACGTACCCATCCACTTCCATATTTCCATCTCACATCGCGTGCAGCACATTTTTCTTCTATCAGCCGATTCATTTACATCTAGCACTCCTAACTACTTCTCCGATGTCCGGTTCAAACATTCCTGTCAAACAATCCCACACTGTTACCGTGTCTGGTGTGGTCGAGAACAGTGCAGTCGTGAGTTAATCCCTGTCCTCCCGTGGTGCAACCTGCTGACTTCTTCACCAGCTCCCTCCCTCTGATACTCGTAACTACTCCTACCGTTTGTGCACTGTTGCAATCACGTGCAACGGTTGGAATGACAATAATAAGAAGGAATATGATGGAAAGTTTACCGCGTACTGTTCAGCCCTTGAAGTACCACACGTCGCGGAGTGTTACGTTATGAAAGCTCGCTTCCTCGCCAACAAAGATTCAGCCGACTTCAATATGTATTACGAAGCAAATCACAAGATATTCGTTGGGACCAGCAAAACTTTCACAGGCGTACTCCATAACAATACGGCCATCTCAGGATTAGGTGTTGTGTCCAGTCGATGGAACATTCCCGATGAGGACGATACAAAGTCAACACTGTGTTTCGTCATGAAACATGTTGATTACCAACCGCAGGTACGAGTGTCTCTCATTATACCCATTGATTCACTGCTGACTGTTAAAGCCAACCCCAGCTCCGTAAAAACCAGTACTTCAAAATTGAATACTGTATCCGTCCAACTGGCAACATGGAAAAGAGTCAGAATATTGTTCAAGCGGGTCGCGAAACGCTTATTACTGGCTTCATCGTGGACTGGGATTCTGACCACAACCGCTGGATAGTTGAGGTTAGCCAACCGCCTGATTCCCCTCCTTTCACAATCCAATCTGACTGACTTTAATATCTCAGGTTACCGGTGTCAGCCCCTGTACCGGTAATGAAGGCATTTCATCAACTAAAGCGGACCGTGCTGGCTCAATTACTCCCGCTGGTCGGGTTCGGCCCGCTAAGTTAGTCTTCAATAGCACACTCCGACCAGATTTTGTACTGACTATGTATTCAGACACGTACCCAGTTCCATTACCTCTACCAACCCAACACCTGGTCCAAGTTCAACACCTGCTTCCAAACGTAAATTACCCATTGTGGAGGTTCCGTTGAAGTCCCCAACGCCACTTGCATGTAGGACCCGGCCTGCTAAGTACGTCATTTCTCTCCAGATTCTTTTTCTCACGTGCTGACTTCGACGCTCAGACATGTCCCAAAGCCTTTAGCTTCCGCCAGCACCAAGGCCGTCAAGGCTGTCCCCAAGGGGAAAGGCAAAGCTTCTGCTACAGTTCAGTCCGAGCCCGCACCTGACGCCCTTGACGAGACCATTTCTGACGAGGAGTGGCCTGTTTTGCCGGTTCAACCACTCCCAAAGAAAACTACTACTAAGAAGGCACCTGCTACCAAAGCGAAGAAGGCTAAGCCCATTCCTAAGGTACCTGAGGTAGAAGAGGAGGTTATCGAAGACGGCGATGACGGTGAAGAAGTCAATACTGAAGACGACATGGAAACGTAGAGTGTCGCCTCCTCTCGCACCTCAGCTCACACCAGAAACTCATATCTCGCTTTTTGTTCATAATGTGTAACAGTTGTACAATAGCTTTCTTATAGTGTACATGATGTCAATAAACAATGATGTCTTGGTCATATCCTTTCTTTGTGCCGCTACCTCTGGTATCCAAATGATTTACGTATGAGTTCAATTCGGCGACTCCCACTTGATTTGGTGTTTTACCATGAATTCGCACGCCACTCGCTTTGTTCAGCACTCACGAGCATTTTCAGGACCTACACTCCCCGCCGCCTTGGCAAACGACTACCTGGACATTCATTGTCATAACCGTTTTGACGCCGCATGCAGCAGTTGTTGTTGCTACCACGAAATTAACACCGAGAAAATGGATCGGTCCATAACAATTGCAATCCTCCCCATAAATCAGACTACATTCTGCAAACAAAATATCGCTTTGCCTTCAGAACATCGCCCTTTTTATTGGCCTGGGCGTGGTTCCAACCAGTTCTACACATTTCCAGGCTGTGACCATCAGTTCCAACCGTACCACCCGTTTCCCGTAAGTCTGTTGCCGCTTCATCGTGATGCCTGGACTGGTTCATCTCCTATTTGGACGTGGACTGCTCAGCAGCTTTTCAGCCATTCACCGTCTCTCATACGATGTGTGTTGCAAATGGCGCTCCAGTTCTCGCGCTGCCTTATATATACACGCTACCCACGACTTGACTCCTGCTCACGGTGTGCATCCATACTCACAACCCAATCAACTTGCCACCCCTTTACAGGCAGCTTTACCCACAATACAATTATCTTCCCCTCTACCTTTCACCACACCCTTGGTCGCCTGTCCCGCTCCGCACCAACATTGTAACACCAACAACCGCCCAAAGCTCACTCCTGCCATACTTAGCGAGTAAATCCCTCAGCTCACCCCTGAACCGCCAGTCCTCCAAATACGTTTCGACATTCACAGCCTCCACAAACACTGGAAACTATTCTCTATCAAGTCGAACGGCGATCTATAGTTCATTATCAGGTTCATTCGTTATTATTCCTCCACTCCTTGCCCATAATTATCATAGTGCTCACCAGGCCTATCTCCCCTCGCCTGTTCAACACAGGTCCAGATATCCGAACATAATCAGTATACTCAGAACTATGCCTAGCCACGGTCCGGCCGTCACAAATGCAGATGACAATACCAAATCTTCAATCAAAAGACGCTTCGGCGAAGAAATACCTTACAATATTGGCCCTTGTGACGACCCATGCGCGTACTGTGCAGCTCTTCATTGGACGTTGGAGAGACAACCCGGGACCAAGACCACTCTGAGTACTGTCTACGCGGCGTGCTGCCAGCAAGGCGCAGTCAAATTACCTAGCACCAATTTTGAAAATGAACTAACGCCTGACTTCCTCAAGGCATTATTGTCCGACCAAGATAGAAGTGAGTCAGCTACTTACCACAAGTCAAGTACATCTACCTCCTAACATACTTGATTACAGTTTCCAAGGAATTCAGGCAAGATATCCGCCGATACAATAATTCCCTGTCTTTCGCTTCAACTGGGACGAAGCAAGACGTCAGTGTTGCAGGCAACGGTGGTTCCTGGACTTACAAAATCAAGGGACGTTTAACACATCGCATTGGCTCACTTTTACCCGCACCGGGCATACCAAGGAAATTCGCTCAAATATTCATGTATGGGGACCAGTCTGACGAAGAAGCACACAGCCGTAACGAACGCGCCGGCGGCGGTCTCAACACCAATATCATCAAAACTTTTCAACAATTCCTCTATAGGCATAATCCGTTTGCTAAGTTGTACAAGTCAGCCGAGGAGGTTCTCGACGCAGGCGGTGTCAAGACCATAAAGATCAAATCCATGTCTTTATCAGGCCGCGACCCCAACCGTTATAACTACCCTACATGTAATGAAGTCGCCGCTGTGATCCAAGGCGACGGCGACATTGGATCAGAAGACCAAGACATCATACTCAGGCGACGGGACGGCCCACTCAGACGTATATGTGACCTAAATACCAACTACTTCTCACTTCGTTACCCGATTTTTTTTATGTTTGGGTTGCACGGATGGGACAAGCATTACCGGCATTTAAATGAACGTCATACGTAATTCTTCTTGCTTACTACTCTACTCCGCTTACATTGCTTTACTGCAGGCAAATCAGGTCGTGTTTCAAATCTTGAATGGGCGGCTTTCACACTCTTCAGCCGGCCAGGAGTTTTCTCACCTATACTGTGAGGTGGCAGACTTTTACAAGAATACATAGTCGATATGTACGTTTGTGTTGAGAATGCTTGCATGAAATATTACAAGATGAATCAAAAAAAAATTCGGGCAGCATTTTACAACGGCGCTGCTGAAGCATTGAATAACAATGACGCTACGGTCGGAAAACGGATAATACTACCTTCTGGCTTCATAGGCGGTCCCAGTGCCATGCATGAGCTCTATCACGACGCCATGGCGCTGGTCAAAGCGTATGGGCCGCCAAGTTTCTTCGTCACGATGACTGCCAACCCCAAGTGGCCCGAAATTACTGCTGCTTTGCTGCCGGGCCAGACAGCTGACGATAGGCCGGACTTAGTCGCTCGCATATTTGAACTTAAGCTTCAAGAAATGCATGAGGACATTTTTAAACGCTCTAGACTTGGCTACAATGTTTCATATGTCCACACCGTTGAGTTCCAAAAGCGACGCAATCCTCACAACCATGCAGTTCTAATCAACGACGCCAGCTCCACACCAAAAACCCCTGCCGCTGTTGACCTATCAGTGTCGGCAGTCCTGCCTGACCCTCAAGAATCACCTGACCTCTACTCATGTGTTACTCAGTTTATGCTTCATGGACCCTGCTACAAGGGAAAAGCATGCTGGAATGGCCTCAGGTGCAAATACGGATATCCCAAGGAATTCAATTCACAAACCGCCATCACCGAAGATGCTTACCCAGCTTACCAAAGACCCGACGATGGTCGCTTTTTTATGAAAAATGGGTACAAGTATACGAATAGGGATGTTGTACCCTACAACCCCTTCCTACTACTCAAATTTCGATGTCACATTAACGACAAAGTGACCCTTGGAATGAAATCAATCAAGTACCTTTATAAATACATCAGTAAAGGCCACGATCGCAGCGCCGTCAGCTTAGAGGTGGAGAATGAACCAAACGACTTTGTTGACGGGCGAACTTTAGCATCCCCTGAAGGTAATTATTCGCTCTCTACCCTCTTCAATTTTATTTAAAACTGACTATCACTACACCAAATGTAATCTTTACCGGGCGGTAAAGAAAACTACTGACATAGAAAAGTCCTGAGGCAACAGGAAGAGAGCTAAAAATCTGAAAAAATATGCACCTTGTTCCTAGATGTTGGGGCGTCATGATGAGTAACTTTTTGTATTTTACACGCAGATATTGGTTAATGTACTAACAATAAAGGCTGAAAATCATCAAAAACCCACATGTAACAATACCTGAAATTTGGGTCATGATTATGAAGACAATATTTTGTGGTCTAAAAACTTCAATAACTTTTGCAATTCTGCTCCAAATAACTCGATTTTTGGTTCATTCAAAAGCTGAACCATTCTGCTTTACACTTCATAATGTCAGCAAGGTGCTATCTAGTCATTTGAACGCTCTACATATGTCCAAACAGTTCTGCATGAATAGCTCCGTAGGACCTTCTTCAGACGGGCTACAGATGTGGTGTCTCAATGAAAAATGTAGAGGAAAGACTCACCTTTTCAATGAACCAAACATCGAGTTATTTGATTCAGAACTGCAAAAGTTATTGATGTTTGAAGATTTCAAAATCCTGTCTACAAAATCAAGGGCCAAATTTCAGGTATTGTTACAGGTGGGTTTTTGATGATTTTCAGCCTTTATTGTTAGTACATTAACCAATATCTGCGTGTAAAATACAAAAAATTACTCATCATGACGCCCCAACATCTAGGAACAAGGTGCATATTTTTTCAGATTTTTAGCTCTCTTCCTGTTGCCTCAGGACTTTTCTATGTCAGTAGTTTTCTTTACCACCCGGTAAAGATTACATTTGGTGTAGTGTATGCTTGACTAGCTGTATGGAGATTGTACAAGTACGCTCTGTCAGGTCGCTATCCGTCGATCACTCGACTCATGCTACACTTGGAAGATTCACATACTGTTTACTTTCATAACACAAATACACTTCGCAACCAGATGGAATCCGGCACAGCCCAGCGTACCACCCTTACTGAATTCTTCTCCATGTGCGACGCGGGTGGTTTGATAGCCAATACCAACATACCAATACGGACACTTCTTTACGGCGACATGCCCGCTTATTTCTGGTGGTCCAAGACCGACAAAGCTTGGCTGAGGCGTATTAACAACACGATAGCCGTCAGTCGACTCCACTTCGCCATGCCAAGCCATGGAGAACGATATTACCTTTGGCTTCTCTTAACAGTTGTTCGAGGCCCAACCTCTTTCCAATTTCTCAAGACTGTCAATGGAAAGTTGCATAACACTTACCGCAGTGCGGCTGACAGTCTCGGTCTGTTGCTTTCCAATACACATTTTGACGCCTGCCTCAGTGAAGCAGCCACGTGGAAGACAGGAAGGCAGCTGCGGGATATGTTTGCGCTTATATTAGTCCACAGTCCTCCAGCGAATCCTGTTCGCCTCTGGGAAGAACATGTAGAGGATTTATGCGACGATTGCAAGTACCAACTGGCCTTAATTTCGCCTGAACTCCACCCGACTCAGGCTCAACTCAACAATTATGGCCTATCTCTGCTAGAAAGTTGCGTATTGAGCATGGGGAAGACGCTTGGGGAAGTTGGACTTCCTGATGTAGACATCCAATTGTTGTTCGAAATTGGGGGCGGAACGACTGACTTTGACAACGTAGACGACAAACCGTTAACTCATGAAGCTATGGACCAAGCAGTGAAAAGTCTTACGCTAGAACAGGCGGAAATCTTCGATCTGATTGTGGATTCAACTCGATCCAAAAGTGGTGGAATGCTTTTTGTTGACGGACCTGGGGGGTCAGGTAAAACTTACTTGCTCAATACTTGTCTCAACTATTGCAATACAAATGAAATACCATTTGTATCAGTTGCTTCATCCGGAATTGCGGCTCTTTTACTAATCCATGGAGGCACCGCTCATTCGATCCTAAAAATACCACTCTCTGCCGACCCTGATTCAACGTGCAACTTCACTCGGTTAGATGCGACAGGTAAATTGCTAGCCCATGTCCAATTCATGGTCTGGGATGAGATTTCTATGATGAACAAGGATTCTATCGAATGTGTAGACAGGTCCATGAGAGACCTCCGTGATTGCGACCAGCCATTTGGCGGTGTAACCGTGCTTTTTTCAGGCGACTTCCGTCAGATTCTGCCTGTGGTTAAATCCGGATCACTACAGGACTCAGTTAGGGCGTGTATCAAAAACTCCTACCTCTGGACCAACGTAGTACAATTTAAACTGACAATCAATATGAGGTTGAAAAGTGATAGCATGGATCAGGCCATTCAACGCACCGCAAAGGAATTCGCTAAATGGCTTCTCCAGGTCGGTGCAGGGGCACTCCAAACCGCCCCAGTCGAAAATGTTCAATTAAAATACGTCAAAGTAGCCCATTTCAGCACCAATGCCTCTTTTGACAAAAGGACAGTGGACAACTTTTATTCCAACACAGCCGTTTTATTGCGAAGCCAGGCATGGCCTGACCTCGGCCACGTCTATTCGGAACGCGTGATTATCACTCCGCTAAACAAGACGGTGGCGAAGATCAACCAACACGTTCTGGATAGCCAAGCTGGAGTACTCAAACAATACAAGTCCGTTGACGCTTTGTCAGAAGACTGGGCTGAGCAAGTCAGCGTCTATATTCTGAACACATTCAATATGGCCAATTTCCCGCAACACAATCTCAAACTCAAAGTTGGCGCAGTCGTAGTTCTATTACGCAACCTTCATCTCAGACGCGGCCTCTGCAATGGGACGCGCCTGCTTATACTCGGAACCACTGACAACGCTCTTCGTTGCCTAATCATAACAGCTCCGAAGCAGGGTTCAGACATCTTTCTCCCACGGATCAAGCTCCATCATCCTGGCGATCCCAACGTACCCATTTCTTTCTACCACTTGCAGTTCCCCGTGACCCTGGCCTACGCCATGACCATAAACAAGGCTCAGGGTCAGACCGTCAACAAGGTTTGTCTGGTACTTCCCACACCGGTATTCGCACATGGTCAACTTTATGTCGGATTTTCCAGGTGCACCTCTGCAGAGCAAACCACAGTTTCTTTAGCCAGCCTTGAAGAAGGATATACAATGAACGTAGTCTCAAAGGAGGCCATTGCATAAGCCCGCCACGTAAGCATCTCAGTGCCACGTCTCAGTCGCAAACTCTAACTGATGTAGCAGTCAGCACCTAAATGCTTTTCGTAGTACAACTGGATATTGCATATGAACGTTGGTTAACCAGCTGTAGTCCCTTCTCCTGTACTATTCTTATCCAATTTTCCCATTTCTTCGCAATGCATACATGGCTTCTACCAGAAGTAGTGTCAAACCAAAGTTTTCAACCCGCTGCAACAGGCAGAGTCTGCACGTTTGCTCTGAGCAGCCTGGTTGACTAAACAAGATTGCTTCTCTTGAAGTGACAGTTCACCGAGTTTCAACTGAGTCAATTAAAAGTTTATTACCGACAATGATACTCAAATCATTACAGGCCATCCTTACAAAACGTGCATAGCACAAGAGTTCGAAACATAGACACATCAGATCCGTTGAAAGTTGTTTAGTCACGTCCTGTACTCATCAGTGCCGCCTCAACCAGGGATTCTTAAACTATTGATTCCAGCTGAGCCTACAGGCCAGCAAGGTATGCAGCCAGTAAACGGCCTTTTCAAGCAGGCAGTTCTATGAGCATGTTGTTTATCACTACATGATACCATAAGATTATGCTAAGCCATACAACTACAACTCAAGTCAGTTTGAACCTATTCATCTCTAATTTTGGTGCATACATAACCCATTTCACTTGCTCCCAGTAAGTTCTCATTGCCTAACTCGGATCTATAAAGTAATGTACACTCTGCTGAGACACCGCACTAGTACTGACCATTTCTCTCCCGCTGTTAGCATTGCGCACCCGATTTTAGCCTATCATACATTGGGAGTGGTCTGAACCTGAATGCTTGTGCTGATTCAACAATTTAGTTAAAACTGCCCCCACCATCTTCATAACTCTTCACGCCGCTCCCAATTGTACACCCGAGAATGTCATGCAGCTGTAGATCAAGTGCTGAAGGATGCTCGACGTTTAGAACTGAGCGTGGGGGGTTGAGCCGACGCGATTGCATCTGCGGCTCGGAGCTGGGACCAGTCAGCTTAAGTCTAATTCAGGCGAGCAAGAACTCACCTCCACAACCCATACTCTACCCCGGGCCCAGTAATTCTTTACCACACCGCTGAAATCTACGACATTGCCCACGTTCAAATTCCGGCCCCCGATTGAGTCAAACAGCATTGGAGATGCTTCGTATACCGCCGTGAAATGGACGAATCTACCCAACTGTGACTGTGTCAGGAAGTGCGCAGGGAAAACATTTAAGTCACTTACACTATCATCCCAGGCGTTGTGCATCACCGTAATGGCCCATACGCCTTCCCCATGCCCCACGGTCATACATCGAACACATCGTACTATATGGCCGCGAGCAGTAACTGTAAGGACCGGAACAGGCGCAGGCTGTTGAGCGGCATAGTCGCTGAGCGCAACTACTGAACTGGACACTACCGAGAAAATTGTATCGTCTCGGTTGCTCCTTGGTAAAATTGCACCCGTTAGGTGGTAAGACCGGTGCGATTCAAGAGCAGTCTGGGTAGATTGAGACGGCACAAAGAATCTCAAATGCGAACGACGACCACGTAGTAGTAACACAGTGCTCTGGAGGCATGGTCGAGGGGTTCCTGCGTTGGACAGTCGGATACACTGCAGGTGAAAAGCAAATTCAGCCCTGGTTAACTGATATCAATACTAACTTACTTCACTGTTCATTCGAAAAACGCCGGTCCAGTTCATAGGTAAGGGGGAATCGGCTACGTTGGTCATTCTGACCTAGAGAAGGAGTGGATTGTATTGTGGAGATTTGGAAAAGTTCCATTCGAAGCGATGTTAAATCGTCCCGGGTGAACTCAATGTGGGTCTGCGGGTCTGCGCAGGCGAAGAAGACAGGTGATGTTGCTATGCAAAGACTCATCAGGCAATCGATTCGGCGAACCGCATAACGCTACCTGAAAAGGAACAACAATCCCTACGCCGATTCCAGAACCCATTCAGGCACAAAGGTCATCACAGTTGTAATGTTGTACGCTCCTGAGTCACGGCTGGCCCTCCTGTGCGCCAATTACATTAAGGGACAGCCTGCTAACGACAACGAGATCAAATGACTAACTCACGTCATGGACTGGCAATACCACTTCATCAGTACAAACCCCACGACCAGGGAAAGAACTCAACGGCAACAGCTGACACCAAAGCAGTCTTGGTTGCGGTCGTTTTCCACTCTCGCCGTATCAGTCTGCTTCCACGTTTCTCTACCTCCATCACTTTTCGACGAACCGGAAGAATCCTCAGGCCAATATAATCTGGTGTAATCCTGAAAGTTCAGACTATTCTTAAGCGATGATGTCTGAGCGACATGAGTTACCATTAGTGTGGCGCGGCAGAGTACGAATAAGAGGGGCTGTAAGTTCAAGATTCACGGTCACATTCTGACACTGATTTCTGGTTCAGACTTCTGTTTCAACCTTTGGTGGTCCTTTGGGCGTTCGTTACGAAGTAGTTGCAGTTCACCCTTACATCCCGGATCGATACTCTCCATTCTTATTGGTTACCAGGTCGCCGGATATGCTATCTGATGGGGTTGTCATTACTTTTTCCGGTTTGGCCGTCTTCTTCGGTCCCGACAAGCCTCTAATCGTTAATGCAGAGTATGTTACCGATTGTTCGCCAACCACGGGCCACGCCACGCTTGAGGCTGGACTGAATATGGTCCATGTTACCGCTTGAGGAATGGTTATATGGCGTCAATCTTTAGGTAACCGTGATACCGTCAGCAGCTGGTGGATTCTCACTGTTCTTCACAACGCATGGGTAGACTCAGTGAGTGATGAACTCAAATTGAAGGCATTCCTGAACTGACTGGCACTATAGTTGGGGCGATATGTAGAATTCGAGGTCAAGTACGTCGATAATCAAGGTCTAATATCCACTCTACCGCACTGTGTTGGATTGAGCAACACCATCATAGACCTCGAGGGAACTGTAATGCAGCACGCCGGAGACACAGGAGAGTGGGTTATTTTTGTAAGTTGATGGAACCACTTCGTTACATACTGCGCACAACTCACTGTTGTGAATCTAGAACAGTTGAGCTCAATTAGTTCGTTGTAAGGGCGACATTCAGTACACTCCTTGTGGTGCTATTGAAGTACAAGTCAAAATGTGTTAAGTATTACGGGTTCAATTAATACTCTTGGTGTTCAATTAACCCAGTGCATTCGGCCCAATTGTAGCAACCAGGTATTCCAACCGCGATGTATTTCTCTGTCTGGCTACATGCAAGTTCTGAAAAATCCTTACATATTGAAATACTTTCCTTTATTATGGCCCAGCGTCAGTGGTCCAGTCAAAACGTAGAAGTTGTTCGCTACAGAACCTGCTCAGTCGACAGTGGTGCTTGATTTAGCTGCTTTGTTGAACCTCCTCTACTGTACTTGACTCAGGGGGTACAAAAATTACCTTTCAAGTGTGGAATTCAAACGCCAGTTGGTGCTAACTACAAAGCCAGCACCGCCTCTGGAAGAACACTAAGTCCCCTTTGCAACCGGCCCAGACTCCACTACGTATACGGTGTTAAACTCCAATCTTTTCAAGTGTTAGCATAAGCGCACGATTTAAAGATCTTGAGGTAACTCGGAAGAAATAGTAGATGCAGTACAACAAGACTAAATAGCCCGTAACATTCCAACAATCGGCTTCAATGAGGCACTGATTCTGCTTCGGTCAACTGGCGCAATATCGTCAGGTACAGGCTTGAAAACAACGAGCCCTGAACTTACGTTGACTGTCCATTCTTGACTAGACTGTGCGTAGCCCGACAAAGTTCCGCTGAGCAACACCAGGGCGTCCAGTTGGAACATTTCCAGGCCGAGCGTCCCCATGGTGTCATTTCTTATTGTGTACCGAACTCGAAAAGAAACTGTGCTGAAGGACTGTAAAAAAGTCAGTGTTGTACTTTACAAGCCACATGAGCCAACTAACACTAGATTCCCAGTCTCGATGCAGAACAATTAAAACCCAACACCTGGCAATGTCTGAGTAGTAACAATCAAGTACTCTACCAATGCTAGTTATGAGAACATGGTTCGGATATGTGCTGGACGTGGGTGAATCAACAGCTGGAACGGCTAGAACTGCCCTGTCGGAGTGAAGAATGGGTACGGAGTGGTACGGAGGCAATATGATCCGTCCATAGGTGTAGTATGTGCTACGCGTCTGCAGTTGGCCAGGTGTAGATTCAATCACGTTTGCTGGGGCCATTTGTGGACCGTCAATAGTGATGAATAGTTCAGTTGAGTATTGGCCCATAGAAGCGATTGCATTGCCATGAGATAGTACCTGTAGTAGAAGCAAATCAGTAGGTGCTTTGGATAAGTGACTTTCATTAAATCTGACCCTCTCGGCTATAACAAGTTCCGACTGAAAGCCCATTGGCAGATACTGAAGATCCATGGCGATTTAAGTGAGGTTGTTTCGATTGGTTGCTTACTCGGGCTGTGGCAAGTTCTGACCATGTCTACCAAGATAGAACGACGGTTTTTATTCAGGGTGCCTCCACGAGGTCAACGTACAATGGGCTGGAAGATTTGGATGGGCCACTTTGGTTGGCTGTGGCACATGGTCCAACGAATCTGGCCGAACCAGCTGCGTAGGGGACCAGCGTTTCCACTCCCGTGCCAGCCTCGAAGTCAAAATGTCGCCTCAGGGCAAACCGGTGGTGGACTTTTTTCCATAAATGTGGGTTGATTGATTATTTCTGGTTTTGGTAATACATTGCTTTCTCTCTTGCCAGCCTACAACCTTATTGACTCAGTCACATCAATCCAACAAATGGACATTTCAGCCACGAAGCGCACTGCACGAATAGGACCATACTGCAAACTTACAATGGGATGGAGCGCTAGAATCAACGTTCAGGCCAAGGTAAGCTGTGGTCATGCCTATTGATTGTATCACACCGAACTGATCTCGACAGTACCGCGCGAAAAGGCCCTGACTCAAAAGTACCGCAAAGTCTATGATGCGTCCGTGGTCCTGGATGAGGCAAAGCTTCCAATTCCAGTGGCCCTGGTCGAGGAGTTTGTTCTTGACAATGACGATATGACCGGAGTTCACGAACTCAGGGGAGTAGTCGTTGGCGGGGGTAGCAACGTAGGGGGACGTCTGGTAATGGAGAGAAGTCGCCACGAGCCAGGCAGCACAAACAATATTTTTGCTGGTATTGGACCAGGTCTCAACGTACGTGGCCGTGGATTGGTCCTCAAGGATTCATTGGTGGAAGCAGGGCCTTCTGGGAGTGAGTGGAGAGTTGCTGTAGTACTTCATAGAGAATGGGACATGGAGGTACGTACATGAGTTATAGATGTTTCAAAGACCGTTAGTGCATTAGCTGACCACGTACAAAATAGTTTCTTAAATTTAGAGAATTTCAGGTCGATTATATATATGATAAACTGGAGTTAGTGGCGAGCCCGTTTGGTCCAATCCGGGCAGGTCAAGTGCTTGCACTACAAGGGAACGTAATTGACATGAATCTTATGAGAAGCAAATTGATTGTCAGAATAGTCATGTAGAGAAAGGAATTGGTTGCCGTGTAGAGGCCCCGAGCACTACGTTGGTCAAACTTTGGTTACACCCTAATTGTTAACACTAGAAGCATGTCTGGATGTACAGCCATGGCAATTTACATGTTACAGCGTAGTGGTTAACCAGCTCACACTAGCCTTGCTCCAACCAACAATTGCTGCTTCGTAGTGCCACTAATACTGTTCTGTAGTGTCACTAATAGTATTTCGCACATCCCAATTCTACATTTGATGAAAGATACCCAGGACTAACCCTGTCTTAGTCTCAAAGGGTGGCTGGCCACCCAATTCCAGAGGGTGGCTGGCCATCCAGTACCTTGTCCTACTTGTATAAACAATACAGTTGATGAGCCTCAGAAGGTATCAAGCCCCACTCCAAGTCCTGAATTGTTCATATCAACCTTCCCAAGTAATTCCCAGAGAAAATTCCTTACCTTCATAGATAGTTGTTCTACTACCCTTATATTCGATTTGTCAAAGGATCCTAGTGCAAGTGACCAAGGAGCGTATTTGGACACAGGGAGAGAGAGAAGACTTAGAATCTATGCCAAAAAAGCAGATGTCGAATAGCACCCTATACAGGCTCCCCCCCTTTTTTCGAAGAACCCCGTTCTGGAAGTCAGGAAGTCAACCGCTAAATAAGGTGAATGAGGAAAAATAGAAATTGAGTAACGCAAACTGTAGCTCCCTACGAGTTTGGGACAACTCACCATGCCAAGTCTTGTTGGGAGCCACAACAAACGGGAGGTGCTGGGTCAACCTGCGAGGTTGGAGGCAACCAAACGGACTCTAAACTTCTTTCCACACCGGAAGCAGATTTGTAAAGGTTGGCGTTATATAAATCCACATAAACTTAACAAAGTCCCACGCTCGCGGATCCTTGCCAGGCGTTGAGCGAGGGACTCACGCCAAATGTGTACACTCCATAAGCTCAGAGATTTGGCTTTTTCAGGGAGCTTGCTTCAAACCCTTATAGCTTATTCCACACCAAGGATTTGCATATGGTCCAAAGGAAGAACTTGTGCGCCTGACTCTGGCGCATAAGGTACATATTTTTTTCCCCGAGGAATGTGCTGCCCTCTTGTCTAAAATGTGCATCAAATATTGGCTCTTAACAGAGGATTACACATGTAACCTCTCTCTTGAGTCCAAATTTGCTGCTAAGATCAATCTTTGAAGCACATTTTTGGCAAGAAGGGATTAACTTCCTTGGGAAAAAAAAATTGTAGTCTCAGTGCAAGATATCAGCGCACAAGTCCTCTCTTTGGACTATATCCAAATCCTTGGTGTGGAAAAAGTTATAAGGACTTGAACCAAACTCCCTGCCAAACCCAAATCTCTGAGGTTATGGAGCGTACACATTTGGCATAAGTCCCTCGCTCAATAAACTTATCAAAGTCCCACGCTCCCGCCTACTCGCGAGGCGTCGAGCGAGGGACTTATGCCAAACTTGCACAAACTCATTGCTCAGGGTTGAAGCCTTTTGCAGGAGAGCGTCTCAAAACCCCTCTACAGCCTTTTCCTTCAAACAATGGTTCTCTGGACCAAAGAAAAAACTTGTTGGCCGTACTTTTCCGCACATTGTACATCTCTTTTTGCTCGACGCCTCGCGAGGATACGCGAGCGTGGGACTTTGTTAAGTTTAAAATTCACACCTGTTTTTCACTTTGTAACCTCATTACAGCTCATTACACAGGAGTAATATCTCGCGTCAAAGTCCACTGTTCTACTTATTTTGTATGGTTGGTTGAGTGGTTCTCTAGTCTCATGTGAGATTACAAAAGTCATATAAAGAGCCCCTTTGACGTGTCCTTTACACCGCAAAAAGCATCAGTCTCCTCCACAAGGACCGCCAGATCCCCCCTCGACGTCGAGGGGGGTTGACATCCTTGCAAATGTTTTGCAAATGTGTCCTAGCCTTAGGCAGCGCTTAGGCAAAAATTCCATGATCAGAGGCCTGACCATCTTTGAGCTCTCAGCTCGGGCTGAACTCCTCATTCAACAATTCCGCTCAGAGAACTGGATGAGCCTATCTGGAAAACTGAACTTTGACATTTCATGCGGGAAGATGTCAACATACCTCCAAGAACCCATATGTAGTATGTATCATATGCAAGACATCTTGTCTATCATCCTTACAGTGTTCTACTTGATCTCACGATAATTCCAACAGCTACAAAGCTTTGGCTTTGAGGGATACGTCATCAATTTAATCGTTGGACCAGATCCACCTTTAGCGTACTTGTGTTCTCAGGCAGCTCTCCATCAGATGGTGAGTTGGAAATGGATCATGTCGGTATCCTGCGGGGCGGCTGACTTCTGGTGTTCCTATCAAACAGCCAATCACGCTTGCTCCGCGATCTTCCTTGAATGTATCTCGCCTTGAGGATCACAGCTGTCCGTTCAAATCATGGATTGTTGGAGACACCCGATTCAATGTTTCGTTTTCAAATTACGGGAATCAAGAGCAGAGCATTGGTTCGAGTTCCTTTCATAAACCCAAAGTGCTCACCATAGGGACTCGTAAGCTTGTTTCACTTGTTATTGTACCGCTGCCTCCTTATCAATTGCTTTTTTGGGACATATAAGTCGATCACGCTGCTATCGCCAAGGGGGAGAAAGACCTCAGCACTCTTCAGGAGAGAGACGACAAGATGAAGGGAATAATCGCGGAATATATTGAGACGGATAAGTGTCTCAGGGCAAAACACGCTGAGTTAATGACAAAAAAGGTTACTAGATTCCAGTGTCTTGAGGACGTCACCTCGCTGACCCTTGTCTCTGTTTGGAATGATTCTATATTACGATCATATTCAGAAAAGTCGAGAGGCGACTGAAGAGAAGCACCAGTGCTATCAATCAGACCCTATGCTATCAGAATTATTGTACCAACAACGGCTTCACCTCTTAATCATTCTCTTTTTCCCCATCGTCTCTTTATAACACTTTATGTTTTGATTTGCATCAGAGACACATCGATTCAAAATAAGCTTCATAATTCATATTCTTCTGTTCAAATAAACACGATACTGATGTTAAAAAAGAAAATCACAAGTTGTACGATCAAAATGATATTAATGGCATTACCCAGCTTTTGTCACAAGTGACGCTTTGATAACGCTAGCCTTAAATCGCGACAGCTTATTATGAACCTAATGATCAACCTAAATCTAAGATAATGTTAAGAGACCGTTAACAAGTTTTGGATCTTTGATTGCTGAAAGAGCTGGATGGAAAGATGTTTCGCAAGTTTTAAGAGTCTCAAGTAAACAGAAAGAACGGAAAGGTTTTCTACGTGCCAAGCCTGTCTCAAAGCATCAATTCAAGTCTCAACATCAAAGGACAGATACTAACACACTTTCTATGTAAACTACAAAGAGTAAGGTAATGCAGCCAGAGTCAATCAAAAATGATACATCTAACATTGTATACCTGACCCAATAAACAGTCTCAGTCTTTTCAATCCTAGATACCTCAACTCTAGCCCTTGACACATTAAAATATACAGTCCTGTAACACATCTATTTAAGTGCTTCATAAATCTTCAATAGAATTGATTCTGAGGTCGAGGTGGCTGGTACAATAGATCAACTGTTTTTGAATATTCTCTTCAATCTCTTTTGAATGTTCTTCTACTGATAATTCAATTGATCCTACATTCTCTTTTGCACAATATACATAATGTTGCCATAATTTGTTTTGTCTTTGAATAAGTAAATTTGTTGTAGCTAAATGATCTTTGGCTAATTTCTTTCTCGCTTCAAGTGCTCTTTTTCCTCGTTCTACAAGGATCTCTCTTTCTAACTTGTGAGCTCGTCATGAACGTAAAGACTCAAGCTCAGTAACGACAATACTGATCGGTTCTTGAAATCGATTAGTACCTATGATATCTTCTAGGTATTTTAATAAACCTTCTTCATGCTCTGTGACTGCCTTTGGTTTCATTTGTGCAATGGATTCCACTTCACCTTGTAGTATCAAGAAATGTTTGTGGTCGAGGTCGATTCCCTTGTCTTTCAACATAGTCGTTACCTCGGTGAAATTTGAAAGTCCACTGTGTTTTAGATTGGAACTCACAAATCAGTCAAGTATAAGTTATCATCTTAAAGCTTGTGTACTGACTTTATTGTATATTTTGAGTGATTAGACCGTGTTGCAGTACAAGCCACAACCAATGCAGAGTTTGGAACAACAGTATAGTCATCTGCTCCTTCTTATTGCAACAAAGTGTTTAAAAAAACGGGCGCATCATCAATTAAAACTTCTTTCTACACCACTAGTTGATTACACTTTCAAGCCTACCCGATCAATAATATTTCAAAACCAAACTTCAACTGAACATGATTCAAATCCGCCACTCGGAGAGGCCAAACAATTATGAATCAGTTCTGAAACTAAGGATCGAAATGAATAGATTCCGATGAGTGGAATTCAATGACCATCTTGATCTGTTGATAGATTCATATGCAGGTGTAGATTGCACTCAACGTTTTCCTTGTCTCATCTTATTAGCTTTGAATCCAAAGACAAAGCATAACACGTTGATAGTCTTAGATTTACCGGATCCGTTGAGTCCAACAATAGCAGAAAAAGCCTAAACACAAGGTAAAATCCACACTAGTGAGTCAGATTATCCCAATTCCTGATCAAATATAAATCACAAATTCACAAACTTTATGAAATGGTCCAATGACTTGTCTCCCAGCATAACTTTTGAAGATTTTAATACGATTTGATGAATCACCAATCTTGGTTCACCTACACGTGTAATTGTATCCAAACTCATCTTCATTGGTGGTAAAGGTGGTGGTCTAGCTATCGGAGGAGGTGGTGGTGGTGTTGCAGCACGCATCTGTAGATGGATCATTACTAACTGGGTCAGGGTCATCAGAGTTTTCTAAATTACGGGCTTTCTTGGATGAAGGTTCTTCTAGAACCTCGGCCTCGTCATTTTCGCCAGTCTCATCATTTTTACTTCGATTTTTTACTTCTTGAACTTGATCTTTCGAATTTTGATTTAGTATCAACCGGGTTTGAATCCGCTTTGTCTTTCAAAACCGCATGTAATAGAACCTCGAGTGATGAATAGTAAGTCGCAAAACAAATTGCTTTGGGCATTTCAGTGCGAGTTGAATGGAATCAAAAGATGTGATGCATGAAAAGATGACTAGCTTTTGATCACAGGATGCACTAAGAGAGTCGGTGGGATTTGTTCAACTTACGTTTGCAGTAATTCAAAACATTGCAAAGTCGAATGATTTGCGAGTTGTCTTCGGTCCTTGATGCATTCAACGAACCCAAATCTTTTTACCATCCCATCCCCCAAGCAAATTGGCGAATGTGTTTTTATTTGGATCCGACTGTCGTCCTGCCCAATGAGATTTGATGTGATCCGCCAAGATCTGGAAGTCGTACTTGACTTCATCTGCTTCCGACTTCCCAGGTCTCAAAAGCACCACTTTACCATTGATTAAATATGTGATGGTAGCGTGATTCAGATTGTTAGATGGATCACCGAACCGTATTTAAGATGTATCAAATGAGGAGAAACAGGGAATTTTTTTCGCGGTTCGTCAGGATTTGGTACGATTAGATAATGGATGTGTATGAATTGGGTGACATTAAAGGTGTGACACAAGTGTTATGTGTGTGTCATATTGTGAGATGTCTGGGTCTCAGCATCTGAGACTCAGTCTTGACTCTTGGGCCTCTCAATATCCTTATGTTCCCTAAAGTTTAGAGGATTGGCTGAACGTGCAGGGCTGTTCATTGGGACTTATTGTGCTAAGGTGGTGAAACCATGCATATCTGAGCTGCTCAGATGGAAATCAATTGTGATGCAGGCTGGAGACAACTGCAAGACTCTGACCCCCCTGGACGTCGACGGGGGATCTGGCGGTCCTTGTGCTCCAGACCTTACATCTTGAAATATCCCATCAAACCCGTCTCATTCCCCAACAGCTAACAATTTGCTATGCTGTTCTTCAAAATTATCATTGCTGCTGTTCTAGCAGGTCAGTGAATTTACAGCTGTTGTGAGAATCATTGGTAAGTTTTCTATTGAATGTGTTGTGTCGCGATTTAATCCAAATCGGGCAAAAACAAAAAAAACTCATTTTTGACCATGGGAGCCGTGAGATAGAAGTCATTCGATTGACATCTACTGTCATTTCTCCGATTCTTCGGGTCTCACAATAATCAAGCTTACAGTTTCGAGACCGAGAAACCCTTGGTCCATATACAGGGGTATGTACCAAGGTTTCCTCACCTTTCCTCACCCCAACAAGTTGGTATGTTGTCTTTTCCCCTCCTACCTCTCCATCCTCGCCTCCTCACTCACTTTCTCCCTCATTTTTGGGCTTCCTCTCGCCCAAAAGGTTCTCCTCAATATATCTCAACAAAAAATACCCTGGGTTTTGTCATTTTAGCTCATTCGCAACAAATCTGTCTACTGGTTCCTCACCTCAACAAGTTGGTCATCGTCTTTTCCCCTCCCTACCTCTCCTGACTTCTCGCCTGCTGACTCACTTTCTCCTTCATTTTGTTCCTTCCTCTCGCCCGATATGATTTCCTCATGATCTCTTGCTCAAGCTTTTTATATCTGTCCTTGTTCGATATCAGTCTCGCTATATCTTTTGAAAAGGCTTTTTTTATTCCAACTTGGACACATTCCTCTTTTCGATATCAAAAATGCCCAAAAACCTTTACAGTACGGACATCAAGCTGCTTGTGGTACGGATGGTTTTACGCGGGTTGACCTTTCCCGAAATTGTACGGTCAACGGGCATGGATCTGTCTCTCACCTCGGTCCAACGTTGGTTCGAAATTTATCGAACAACTCGAGCGGTGGTCACCAATCCTTTGGACCACATGCAACCCGGCGCGCCATCCGTTCTAGGAGAGCCCGAGAAACAGTTTGTACTGCAAGCCCTTGAACTGGACCCGACTCTTTATCTGGATGAACTCAAGTCCAAAATTCGAGAGACTTTTGGAAGAATGGTCTCCCTGAAGACACTCTCCACCGAACTTCGAACTCGTCTGTGCTGGACTCGCAAGAAGTCCCGCACGGTCCATCCCAACCAGTCGGCGATTGACCGTGGCGCCTATATCGAGGAGCTCTCTCAAATTGATCCTTGCTGCCTTGTCTTTGTTGGTGAGTTGCTTTGGTGTGATGTTAAATGAAGTCAACTACTGACTGATTGATTTTTTTGGGGGGCAGATGAAACTGCTATATCAAAACGTCGTTTGTATCGAACCCACGGCCGTGCTCCTATTGGTCAGCGCACTTCCCGCCTCCAGAGGCCTACTCAAGCCTTCCGGTGGTCAGCCCTTCCGGCAATCTCAATGGACGGTATTGTGGCTGCGACCATTCAACCGGGTGGGTACTCCAGGCTGGATTTCGAGGCTTTTCTGGAACACGACTTGGTAAGTCTGTTTTTTTTGGTTTTTGTTCCATTCGATGTCATCAAAGTTTCTGATATTTGTGGTTCAGCTCCCTGCCATGAATCCTTTTCCAGCTCGAAACAGCGTCTTGGTTATGGATAACGCTCCTATTCACCATGGCGGCAGAGTGGAGGAACTCTGTGCCGCCAGAGGTGTGAAGTTGCTTTATCTCCCGGCCTACAGCCCCGATTTCAACCCTATTGAGAAAGGATTTTCGGTTTTAAAATCTAGACTTCGACGCTCTCAGGTATTGCAGCACGCTTTGAGTGCAAATGACGAGAAAGCGGCCATCTTCATTGCATGTATGGAGTTATTTACTGAGCAAATGTGTGAAGGTTTTTTTCGGGGAAGTGGTTACTTATAAGTACACAAACCGAAATCAATTCAAGCTTGACTCTGCTAAAGAAGGTATATGCTTACTTTGGCGTGTGATTTTTTTTTGGATATTTATGATTTTACATCTCTTAAACACGTTTGATGGAATTTTTTTTACCAAGTGCTTATTGTATACTCACCAAGCCTGACAAACTATAAAGCCAAGCTGACTTCAAAGGTGTATGTTATTGATTTTTCTTTGGATTATTTAGTGTTCTGTAAGCTTGACTTACTATAAAGCCATAATGTGACTTATAAGTTATATGTTATCGATTGTTCATTGGTGATACTTATAAATCTCTACCTGTTATCTTGGCCTCGAATGATGTTGAAACTTATGAATCAAAACTATCTCTTGTTATCAATGGTTTTGATTTTGGTTGCTTGAGATTTGGCTACGTTTTTGTTTGTTGTTTTATGTTTTTGTACTTTGATTTATCAAAATAAAAAGAAACAAGAGAAAACAAACAAGAGATTTGAAATGAATAATACTCTTTAAGACATGCATGAATATGTCGTAAGACATTGTGAGGAACCTGAAAATATATTAATATTTTTATTGATATATACAAACTTCTTCAAAATTATAAAAATTATTGAAGGGTTTTAAAAAAATTTGAGGACCTTGAAAAAATTAGAAAAACCAAGAGTCAATATCGAATTCTGAAACATTTTTTTCAGGAAAATTTTTGAGAAGTCATTAACGACTTCTCATAATACTTCGGAATTTTTTTTGGAAGATGTCATTATCAACTTGTCAATAATATCCCTAAGTGTGTTTAGGCAATCATTTTGGGATGTTATTGATGTGAGTTTGGGGTGTTCACAAGGTGCTTGTTTAAAGTAAACACATTGATTTGTTTTCATATGGTGGCTTCATACGAAGAGGTAGCAGCAATAACAAGATAACAAGATAACAAGATCACAAGAGACTTTCACGAGATTTCGAGCTGCAACTTCATACAAAGAGGTAGCAGAAATCACAAGATAACAAGACACATTCACGAGATTTCGAGCTGCGACTTCATACAAAGAGGTAGCAGAAATCACAAGATAACAAGACACTTTCAGGAGAATTTGAGCTGCGACTTCATACAAAGAGGTAGCAGCAATAACAAGATAACAAGAGACTTTCAAGAGAATTCGAGCTGCGACTTCATACAAAGAGGTAGCAGCAATAACAAGATAACAAGAGACTTTCAAGAGAATTCGAGCTGCGACTTCATAGAAAGAGGTAGCAGCATTAACAAGACACTTTGATTTTTTTTGATCTGCGACTTCTTTCAAAGAGAATGACAAGAAAACAAGAGGTATGAAGTTCAATACCGGTGAAACATTGTAGTGTTTGAAGAAACTTAAGACGTGGTGGTGGATGAGCAAGGAAGGTAATTAATATTCGGGTGAAGCAGGTGGTGAAGACTCCAAATCTTCCTCAAAGGTTGAATCCTCCACCTTTTCTGGGTCTTCTTGATTGAAATCGTTTCAGAGTTCATGCGCACGGTCCAATGCTTCACTGAGGAGATGTGAGGCAAGCGCTGGGTGCATACCACGCGCAGTGAGTGACGTTTTGGTAAATTGAACGCTAGGGATCAAGTCCATCCAAGACTGGACGCCGGCGTTGTTGAGGATCATCCGGGTGGTCTGGTCATGCTTTGGCACGTTGCAATGGTCCAAGAACCGTTCTAAGGCTGCTGCATGAGCACTTTCAGTGGCCTTCGGGTCTTGGGAAGGTTCGTGATGATCGAGGATCGAAATGGGAGCTACAGCTTCTTCAACGGCCGAATCCTTGACTTTCAAGTCACCAGGTGTGGGGGAGGCAGCAAGTCCATAGTCCGATTGGTTGTTACCCAAAGATTCAAAGATGGAAGGCGAGGGAGGATCGGAAGAGATTACGATAGGGACGCCTTTGCTAAAGGGTTTCGGTGTAACTATACGATATGAATCCAAAGAAAGGATTGATCAACATGTTGATCATAATTCACATACACATAAGTAAAAAGAAATCCTTACCTATCTCCTTCTTAATATGCATTTCGTGACCAGACGGGGGATCGGAAGATAAATTGATCGTGATTCCTTTGGACTTGGCAGAGGTAGAGCCTACAAAGATTGTACAATATTTGTTAGTGAGATGTTGATTATAGTTAGATAGTATAACATTTGAGAGTTTGAGGAAATAGACGTACCAGGTTCCAATTTGATTTTCTTCTTGTCATCTACACAGGTTTAATCAATGCAAGGATCATTAGTAAGATTGATCCTTCAATCAGAGGGGAAAGGTCAAGAGTGGTTTTAGCTTACCTGGAAATAATCTGGGCTTAACTTCGTGTTCAGAGACACTGAAGCCGGCAAAACTGGCAGACCTTTTCGAGCTCGATGATGCAGGAAATAAGAGTTTCGCAGGTGGGTCAAAAAAAGATGTGCGAGATCCACCAGTTCGGTGAAAGGTAGGAGACAAGTCAATGGCCAATTGAGCGCTCCGCATCTTGACACGATCATTGACAGAGGTAGCCTTGTGGAATACGCGGGCTTTCTTCATTATCGCCTGATATTCATAAGTTCGGGGAGGGATTTCGCGAGTGGCCATTCCGTTTTGCTGCCATGAAAACCAGGATTAGCGTCCTCAGTGATTTCCATAAATAAAGAATCGAATCTTACTACAGCCTTGGCCCACACCCACGCGCCGTTCCAGGTTAATCGGTATAGATAATTGGGATCCCAAGGGAAAACCAAGATTGCCCCGTCACCAGAGGTCCCTTTTTGCGCTTGTTCGTGAAAAATTTGCGCAGTTAACTCGTGAAGGGCAATACGGTCACGGGCATCCTGTCTCACAACCAAAGTCAGACCAGTATAACATGAGGAAAGATATTTGATAACGCACCTGGAGCTCCTTGGTTAGCACACCCATCTGCGCTTCGGCAGCAGTTGAGCCACTGGCTGAAGCTATCAACTCCTTTGCCGCGCAGGTCTGACGATCAGAAAATGTTAGCGAAAGAAGAGATCACACCGCCGAGAAAGAAAGAAAAGTATTACATACCTGAGCATCCTTTTTGGCCTTTTCTTTGGCATTCTCAGTAAAGATGATCACCGAGCCCTTGTGTTTGGTTGCCTTCGCAAGCAAGTCAACAAAGGCCTGCCACGTATCATAATCGACCAGGGTGATTTTTTCACGACCAACCTGGCCCAACCATATCAAGGTGGGAGCGATTTGGCTTGAGAGGACCATGTGTCGCATACCACCCTCATACACATCACAGATATCGCCACACATACTCTTGAACTCATTTAAAGATTTTCCAAACAAACACTTCTTCAACTCAAGGACGTTACCTTGGTTGAACATCTTGGACTCAATTAGGTTGTGGCGAACCGCAGATGCAGCTGCACCTTTGCGACCTCGGGTAGATACGCGAGTAGATACACCCGGGTCGACTTCAACTTCCTTCTCGGTATGGATCTTGAACTTGACCTGAACCGTCATTTCGTTTCTTCAATCGAATTGAACACGAGGGGCGGTACCGATGCGGTAAAGCGGGTTTTGTTGAAGGCAGGTTGCTGGGGCGTCGTTTCCTGTTTGATTAGAAGGCTCTTCAAACACTGGAAACCAACGTCAGACACCCATAATTCAATATGACATGAAAACATGAAAGACTTACGTGCATTCATGTGACCTTGAACAACGGGCACGTTGACTTTGGAGGTGTTGTTGATGGGGATTTGGGGGTTAGACATCTTAGTATTGATATTAGCGATGTTGACAACCTGATAATACACAGATAACCTAACAATTAGAAATACGAAGCCTATCAAGGGAGTAGGAACAAGTTGACACACTGATAAGAAGCCCGAGGAGAAGAGGGACGGTTGAAAATAAGGCTGGTTTTGGATAGAGAACTTCGAAATCTGGGAAATAATGGGGAACCATTTTGTCAAGGTAAAGATGAGAGAAAGCATTAAAAAAACAGGAAAGCATTTAAAGAAAAGCATTGGAACCAAGTTACTGACTGGGTGAGATCGATGAGACGAACAAAGGATAAAACAAAACCTTTGGTATGCTATACCAGGTTTTATACCAATCAAGCGTAAGAAACCCATCCCCATTTTCGAAGATGAGGTCATATGACCTCATCACCCCATTTTTGAATTGTATTTGACGATAAAGGGGAGGCAAAGACAAAAATGAATCACATGAAAGAAAAGTTTGGCCACGAAGAAAAAAGAACTTACATTGAATGAGTATTTGTACCAATGATATCCTGTTTGTTTTAGTTTTTGATGTCCTATGATTCAACCAAATATAAACGATTTTGAATTTGAAAACTTTGAAATCAATGATATCATGTTCGATTTTCTTTCATGATAAGAGATGAATCAAACATTCAGAATGATATCCGTTTTCGAAAACTTTGAATTGAAACAAACAATGTACCCTCTTTCCTTGTTCTTTTTTCTTTCCTGATAATCAATGAATCAAACAATAATAAAGATATTCGTGCTTGAAAATCTTGAAATCATTCAAACACATGTACCCTCTTTCCTCAATAGAAATTTTTGAAAATCGCATGACCTCAGACCTGTTTTCGATGCATATATTGATCGAAAGAAGCATGATGAATATGGTGATTGAAATCTTTGGTTGAAAAGTGGGAATTTACGTACCTGTAAATGGCGAAAAATCAATCCTTATTGGATTCCATGTCAAAAAAAGAGGGTTGAGGAGGTGGCTAGTCGACAAGGCGGCGGGTGGAGGTGTAAGTGAACTGGAGGAGGAACCGGAGGTCGAAGCGGAAGGACAGCAGAAACCGTGCTAAAGAAGAATGATTTCTGGAATCAAGAGGTATGCATCGAAGGACCGTTCTTAAATGTCACTTACGTTGAAAACAGAAGAAGGAACCTAATTAAGGTTTAGCCTCAAGGCCTCGAGAAAAAACGGTTTTTTTCTCGAGATTAAACCCCTGGTTAAATCTCGGCGACACACATGTCCTCAAATCTTACCGATGATTCTCACAACAGCTGTATACACACTAATCCATAACTCCATTTGTACTCAATCTTACTCAATCTTCTACCTATTCTTACAGCCACAGTCTCCGCCGTCTCTGTCCAAGTTGACAAAACGTGAGCAAAGCCTTGTCATCTTTCTCTGTGTTGCTGATCCCCCTCTCAGAAGCTTTACCTAACGCATGACTGGCTTGATCTCAGTGGCACTCGTGAAGTCCTACAACAAAGATCTGTAGATTTCACCCCCATCATTGTAAAGAGGTCGTAAGTGAACATTATGAACATCAACTCTCGTTACTCTACTCTTGTAGATTGTTTGACTGATTGTTATGGTTCCTGTCTACACAAAACAAATCACACTGGCTCAAGACCCCTCAAACCTCGTCAGATCCCTACCTTTTCCCCCCCTAACACTATAAAGTGCATCCCATGTCCTAATACAGGAGGATGTTGTAATTAGATGTCAGTGGAATCGACGTATGTGGCAAGTTCAGGAGGGCTTGAGGTGGACGCAAACGCCGACCTTATGCAAGGATTTCTTTCCTCCAGAGGACTCTTCTATGCGTGATGCTGATCAAAGTTCCAAGCTGGCTCCTTATCATAGCCATCATTGCACCAATTTGTTTTTTGTACGCCAGCTGATTTGTAAACCAAGTGATTCTATGACGATACTCTCCCGACTTTGGTAGTTTCTGTTTGGGAGCTTCACTACTCTGATTGTTCTCAATCAATGGAAATTGTCAATGTTGAATGTCGTTGTTTATAGTCTTATTCCTTCTACGCGCCGGTTTTATGCTTCCATCTTTTTGAAACAATCAATAAGAAAATTCAAGAAAATCCTTTTTTCGAAGGAAGAGATCAGTTCTCAGTGAGTGGCTCTAGCTTTCGGGGCCGAACAATCAATAAGACAATACCATGTTTGTTGATACAACACTTGTATCTCAGATCGTACTCGACACTCAGTGACCATAAGCATTCAGACATCCATGCTGAGCTTCACTCTGAAGACTCTGAGCGTGTTCCTCATTTCCTTTCTACGAACACTACTTGTTCCTCTCACTCATCTAATGTTCAGTCTGATCCATTTGTATATATTCCAAATGTCTGTTGTTGTTGTTTCTGTTTTTTCGTGCGTTTTTTTCGTCTTGTCATAAATATAGAAATATTTCTTTGCATTCATTCTCTGCTTGCACGAGAAGCGCTGTCGACAGCTCTCTCTTGAATCTCTTCGTTTGTCACGCAACGCATCCTTTGCTTTTCGTGCTGAAACTTCTGAAGATTTCACAAGCTACTCCATAGCCTGTATCGTTAGGTTATGAGCCCAGCGCTCCAAGACGCGCACTAAATACATACCATAAACCCTTTGTCCATCAAAGGCACTACTAATCACTATCGACTACGATCACCAACTAAAAATCCACCCTGATGTCCAAAGGAAGCGACTCAAAAGAATCTCTCCAACAATCGATCAGCATCATGTCCGACTTGAACTCCAAATCCGTATCATTTGGTACTTCAGCTCTCACCACCATTCCCAAACTCGAGATGGGAAACATATACGCTTGGAAGACTGAATTAAAAATTTACCTAAAAATGAATGGCCTATATGAATTCATCGAGCAAAACCTTGAACGTCCAAAGGACCCTTCCGAACGCGCTCGTTTCGACATGAAACAAGCAGCAACTCTGCATGCTATACGCAACACAGTCGATTCCTCGAATCGCTCTTCGATTGAATCCATCGAAGACCCCAAGACGGCTTTTGAAACTCTAGTTTCTCAACACGGTTCGGACAATGGGATTGTGACCGCGAATACCCTTACAGAACTCTTCAGTTTAAAATATGACACATCTATTGGAATTACCAATTACCTCGCTCAAGTTCAAGACCTCCACAGCAAAATCCGTGATTTGACTGCTGGGGATCAAGATCTTCAACTATCTGATCGATTATTTGCTATCCTACTGGTTAACAGCCTCCCTCGTAGTGATTTTGGTCTCATTATCCAACATTTCCTATCTAATATCAAAACTATCTCCACCAGCGAAGTATGTGCTCGACTCCGTTTAGAAGCTAGCTCCAACAATGGGAACGAAGGAAAATTTAAAGAAGCATACTCTGCTAGAACAAAAAGAACCCCCAGAGTTGATAATAGAAAAGTAGGAAAGTCACCAAAAGACCTATGTCATGTTCACCCGAACTCGAAACACACCAACGACCAATGCTACACTCAAAAGAAGAGTGAAAACAAAGACTCCAACTCACTGTCCGTCGAAGAGATGGCAAAACGTTACAAAGCTATGATGGCGAATACAAACGACACCGTCTCTGCATCTGCACATGTAGCAGTCGAGAACAATTCAAGTAATGATTTCATCACGTACTCTGCCTTCAATGCAACAACTCAAATCACCAGAAACGACCAATTCCTCATTGACAGCGGTGCAAACACTCATATAGCTAGCAATGCAAACCTCTTGTCTAACATACACACCATACAACCCGTCAATGTCTCAGGAATCGGAGGACACAATGGACGAATCAATGCGAAACTCTCCGGAACTGCCTATATCATTGGAAAAACTCGATCTGGAGAAAATAGACTTGTTGCTATTGAGGATGTACTTTTGATCCCCGAAGCCGGAGTAAACATAATATCTGTATCAACAATGCTTCGTGAAGGTGCTACTCTCACTAGCAACCAAACCAACATCATGTTAAAGAATGAAATCCAAGACTACGTCATCACTGGAAAAGGATCCGATGGTCTGTTTTTCGCACAGGCACGTCCATCATCCAATCTATTTGCTGCTCCTGCTTCTGTCCCTGCTGACATCTGGCATCGACGATTCGGTCACCTGAATTACAGATCCCTTTCTAAGGTATCACCAGCTTCCTCAAACAATTTAAACTGTGAATCATGCACACTATCAAAAGCCCATCGATTGCCCTTTTCTTCTCATTTCCCCAAATCTGATGTTCCTCTATTCCGTATACATAGCGATGTTCTAGGGCCAATGCCCACTGCGTCCATAGGTGGAGGAAAATATGTTGTATCTTTTATTGATGACGCTACAAGATATAATTGTATCAGGATCATGCGAACAAAATCTCAAGTATTCTCTCTATTTGTGCAATTTATTACCGAAGTTGAACGTTACCAAAACAAAAGAATAGCCATACTTAAGTCAGACCGAGGTGGTGAATACACCTCTAACCAATTCACAGAATTTCTGTCACAAAAAGGTATAACTTTCGAGCGTGCCCCAGCGGAAACTCCCGAACAAAACTCAGTATCTGAACGATTCAACCGATCTATTCTTGAACGAACACGCTCCACAATGATTGAAGGTAATATCCCGAAATTCCTGTGGGGAGAAATCATGATGGCAACATCGTATCTTCTTAACGTATCCCCTAACGCTTCAATCGACATGGAAACACCACTTGACTTATGGAATGCTGACATCACAGGAACTCATAAACCAAATACAAAATTCCTCCGAGTTCTAGGATGTGCTGCATATCCACTACTAAAATCAACTGAACTGAACAAACTCTCGGCAAAATCACGCCTATGCGTTCATGTGGGATATGAACAAGGTGCAAGGGCGTATCGACTATGGGACCTAACAACCAACACTACACGAAAGATAATATTTTCTGGGCAGAAAATTAAATTATTGATACACAAAAATATTGAGAGGCCAGGAGAAGGGCAAAAAATAAATAAAAATATGCATCTTGTTCTGTTTGAAGAAGACGGCACCGCTCATGTAACAGATCCGATGTCAACTGACACCATCAGAAACAATTCGACAAATCAAGACAACACCACAAAATCAACAATCTCTGACCCTCAAACAGCTGAAAGACCCTTCTCTCATTTCCCAACACAACCACGTCATATCGAACAAGAACCTTCATCCCAGATATCATCGCCTTTCCTGACCCCTCAACAACTATCACCAATATCCCCCAACTTCTCCGAATTTTCAATATCCAACAAAGTATTGGATTCAGATTCTCACAACACATCCTCAATTGAATTCACACCTAAAGAAATCATACCACTACATCACTCAATACATGCGCCACACAATATCAACAAAAAGAAAGAAAAAGAATTTCAAGAATCAAAAACATTACATGAAAAAGAATTAAAAGAAAAAGAATTAAAAGAAAAAGAATTGAAGGAAAAAGAACTAAAAGAATTACAAGAAAAAGAATTAAAAGAATTAAAAGACAAAGAACTAAAAGAATTAAAAGAGAAAGAACTAAAAGAATTAAAAGAACAAGAATTAAAAGACTTAAAAGAACTAAAAGAAAAAGAATTGAAGGAAAAAGAACTAGAAGAATTAAAAGAAAAAGAATTACAAAACTTAAAAGAAAAAGAATTAAAAGAATTAAAAGAAAAAGAATTAAAAGAACAAGAACTAAAAATGAATCGAGCAAAAGAAAATCAAAATAATAACACAAAAGAAAAAGAAAACAATCTCAAAATCAAAATCAAACTTACCAAACAAATGAAATCCGATCTAGAAAGTCTCAAAATAACAGAAAAATCAATAGAAGAAGAAAAATATCAAAAGAACAAGTCCGAATCAGAAATCAAAGAAAACAACAACAAACCTTCACCCCCACCCAAATCTCCGATTCCAAAACCTCAACCAATTCCAATAAACAACTCGACCACCTCATCTCAAAGACCACTACGAGACCGTAAACCACCTGTAAGATACGGCAACCTTACATTATACGCCGCCAAGAAAAGCGATGACTGCCCCACCTACACTGAAGCTATGCGAGGAAAGGAGCGACACAACTGGCTCCAAGCCATGGAAAAAGAATTCAACTCCCTGACTTCACATAATGTAGGAGAACTAGTCGACGCACCACCAGAAGCTAATATCATTGGTGGCATGTGGCGTTTCAAAAGAAAACGAGATGAACATGGTAACATCATAAAGTACAAAGCTAGGTGGGTTGCTCTAGGAAACCACCAGATTTGGGGTGTAGATTTCGACAAAACTTATGCCTCAGTTGTGCAATCCAACACTATGAACATGCTTTTCTCTTTATGTGCTTCTGAAGACTGGGAAATGGAACAATTCGACATCGCTACTGCTTTCCTAAAAGGAAAGATGCACATGCCAGTATACACACGACAAGTTCAAGGCTTCTACAACCCCAAGGATCCTAAGAAAGTATGGCTACTCCGTCAATCAATATATGGAACTCGTCAAGCTCACAGGGAATTCAACACAGATCTCGAATCAAAACTACGTAGCATCGGCTTCATGCCATCAAAAGATGACAACTCCCTATTCACCCTTCGACGAGAAAAGGAACTTGTTCACATTCCGATGCACGTAGATGATGGACTCACTTTCTCAAATTCTAAACCTCTACTGAAAGAGGTAAAAGAAAAATTGCATCAATTATACGACCTTGTATGGACAAATGAACCCACCCTACACTTGGGAATCAAAATCACTCGAGACCGCAAAAACAGAACAATTCACTTATCTCAAGAACACTACTTAAAGAATGTCCTCGACCGTTTTGACATGACTCACTGCAATACTGCACCTACTCCTCTCCCTACCTCTGTCGAACTAACCCCGGGAACCGATGAAGAAATCACCGACGCTGCCCACCTACCATACCAACAAGCTATTGGATGCCTGAACTGGGCAGCTGTGCACACTCGACCCGACATTCAATATGCAGTATCAACTCTTGCAAGATACTCATCTAAATACACTATCCGCCATTGGAAAGCTCTCAAACACCTCCTACGATATGTACAAGGAACCATCGACAGAGGGATACTTTTCAAAAACCATGAAGTCCCCTCCACCGAATTGCGTGCATATGCTGATGCAGACTATGCTGCATGCACAGACACTCGAAGATCCACAACCGGCTACGTGTTCACCCTAGGAGGTTCCCTTGTATCATGGAAAAGTCGGCGACAACCAACAGTAGCTTTATCCACCACCGAAGCCGAATATATGGCCCTCGGCGATTGCGCAAAACACTGCCTATGGTTCCGACGAATGATTTCTCATCTCACTCAGACACCCATACCAACATCTCCCATATCTCTACCTCCTCTCAGCATTTTCAACGACAACAATGGTGCTGTTTTCCTCTCACAAGAGTCTGCAACCAACTCACGGTCAAAACACATCGACATAAGGCATCATTTTATCCGAGATCTCATAAACTCACATCAAATCTCCACTCACATGATCGACACCAAAACAATGCCTGCCGATTATCTCACAAAGAACGCTCCAAAGGAGATGTTGAACAGGTGCCGCCTCTTAATTGGAAACGTAAGTTCCAACGAAACTCACGAAATCACCACACATTTACTTCCAAAACCCACGAAAGTATCGAGCAAGGGGGGATGTTGATACAACACTTGTATCTCAGATCGTACTCGACACTCAGTGACCATAAGCATTCAGACATCCATGCTGAGCTTCACTCTGAAGACTCTGAGCGTGTTCCTCATTTCCTTTCTACGAACACTACTTGTTCCTCTCACTCATCTAATGTTCAGTCTGATCCATTTGTATATATTCCAAATGTCTGTTGTTGTTGTTTCTGTTTTTTCGTGCGTTTTTTTCGTCTTGTCATAAATATAGAAATATTTCTTTGCATTCATTCTCTGCTTGCACGAGAAGCGCTGTCGACAGCTCTCTCTTGAATCTCTTCGTTTGTCACGCAACGCATCCTTTGCTTTTCGTGCTGAAACTTCTGAAGATTTCACAAGCTACTCCATAGCCTGTATCGTTAATGTTGTCCTTCAAGATAGTCATTTCTGCCATCTGATTCTTAGCAGCTCGGTGATCCAATGCTCACTGAACTTTCTCTCCATCTATGCCAAATCCACCATCAATCTTTATGTGTACGCTCTGCCAAGTCTGTTCAAGTCGGTCAAACGTGAGCAAAATTTCAACGTCTTTTTCTGCGTCTCTTCAAACGATTGCAAGAACATCACCCTGACGCATGGCACGTTTGATCACAGTGTCAATCATGAACTCCTAGAAAGACGAAGTGTAGAGTTGGCTCCAATCATGGAAAAGAAATCGTAAGTGAAGACTATCAGCATTATCTTCAGACTTTGATTACTGATAATGAACAAAGGAGTAATCGACTCAACTTTCCACCATCAAATGATACTAAAACTTCATCATCATCATCATCAAACTCATCTTTATCATTACATCCTAACTTGGACCCACCTCGTACAGATGAAAACATCTTGGTATCATCGATCTCTGGAAAGAAACCATTCTGATTCATAATTGAATCATCTTTTTTATTCCGACTTTCACTTTATTTTGATCTGTTTCACTGATTCGAACAAATCATTCAATTCGGTTAGGGACCGCATCGATTAACGAAGATTTCAGTCATCTCAAAACAAATCACCATATCAAACCCCGAAAGCTTTCTATTTATTCGAGTCTAATCGTTCAGTCTCTTTTCATCTTCATCTTCAGAGAAACCCCTCGATCTCGACCTTTGCTGATCTTCAATGAATTTCACTCAATAGGTTATTCTCGAATCGCTCTAGCAACAGTTTCGTTACATTATATGTCATCATCCAAAGTGTTGTACAATTGCGCATTTAATTTTACAACTTTTAGATGCAGTAGATGGTCAAGCTGCTAGAGCTTTGGGACAAATTAGCAGGTTTGGTGCTGTACTAGATATGGTCACCGATGGGTCAGTTTTGTTTAATCGCATTCATCTTCACATGAATACTAATCTTCAAGTTTTGGATTTGTATCTTTAAATAGATGTGCTACGACTTTCTTGTTATGTCTTCCAGGTTCGGTTTATCCTACATGAGCGATTATGTTTCATCAGACTTTAAATGCTAGACATTATATTGATATGTATAGGTACGTTTTCTTAACTCATTCTGTTGAAATCGGATTCGCGTCTTGATTTACTTTCTTGGTTTTTTCAAGTTCTGATATCAAGAATTTCAACTTGAAAGAGCTCCACAAAAAAGCCTCCTCATTCAACAGATCAAGAATCCATTACCTACACGAACTCAACCTAAACGATCAAAAAATCACTTCTGAGGCCAACTGAGTCAGAAGACTTCGGTACTGACGCAGACGCTGAAACTACTCCAAAATCTCGAGCTTTAACCTGAATAGTTGAATCCAAAAAAGCCTCAAAAAACCGATTGACCATCCCCACTCCATCTTCCTCAAAACGTTCTACTAAGAGAAAAATCGATATCGCTGAAGAGGAAGAAGAAATTGATCAACTAGCACCAGACGAATTCGTATATTCAGAACCCCCATACAAGACGACCACCGAACAGACCATTGAATTCGCACGTCAAGCTTATTCTTCCAGGGACCAAAATGATTTGCCTGTCCCGACTCCCCGTCCAACGTCATTCATCCGATTTTCCAACACAGGCTTCTGCAATCCAAACCCCACCAGAGGAAGGTAGTGTAAAAAAGAAGACGACAAACCCCAAGAACAGACTGACCAGTTCACATGAGGTCACTGAAGCTGGCGAGGGCAACCATTCTGACTATAATCCGTGTCAAAGCAGATCTTATGAAGCTCCTGGTAGTAGTGATAAGAAGCTTAAGCATTTGAAGCGCAAGGCGTCATAAGTTTTCTTCTATTGTCAAGGAACTCCATGGCTCATCAAACGTTGCATTTTTATTGGTTTTCAGTCATCTGTACCTGCACCTCCCAATGTTGTGCAGCAGCCATCCAGTTCTAGTGCAACCTCAAACATCCCTAGACTAGCTTCTTCTGTCAAGCAAGAACAAATCAACACCCGAGTCTCCACGCATCATCCGCCGCAGGGACCTCCTGATCTCTTGACTGGACACCCAATCCAGCGAGAATCATCCTTTTTACCCAAGTCAGCGACTACCTCCAACGTTTGGGCTAGCTGTACACCTCAACAAGTTCATGGACGTAAGAGTGTTCCAATACCATCGATGGCCTGACCAACCGAAAGGTTTTTCGAGAGTTAAAATTGATTAAAATTAGTGAAGAGAAGGAAACAGTGAAAAAATCAGTAGAAATTGTAAACTCAGGGAAGGGGTAAGTCTTGTTTCATAATTGGAATCTGGTTATCATTACCATTCACCAAAAACTGATACTTTGTTTCTTCTTCTTTATAGTCATGAATGCATCATACAAACCCAAGTTTATAATGCATTATTGCTTATGCTGATTTGAGAGATTCGCTTCTATATTATGAACATTCAACTATTCAAAGACCAAAAACTTTGGATCAAAGTTGAAAGAATTATTGAACGTAATTTGAATGTAAGAACCAAAGTTACCAAATCATGTGGTGAAAGGTTTAAAGTTTGGGAATAGATTGTTTTGTTCATTCCTTTGAATCTCTCTTTCTGTCTGTTTGTAATTTAACTTTTTGGTGCGTTGGGGTTTTCTTTAGGGAGTTATACTGGCGATTTGAATTCAACTTCATCACCTATTGGAGACTATTCTTACCAAACTCCTAGTAGGAATGAAAGACCAAGTTATATTGGATTATCAACAGCTAATACTGGACAAAAAATGAAATGATGGATATTTGAGGAAATCACAGTGATTCTCTCCAATAAAGTCTTTCAATCAAATTCAGATCATTGTTTGTCTTGTTTTATAATAATATCTGATTGCCTTGTTCTAAATCACACATTGATACAGCACTGGGATGGTTGGTGGGTAGGAGTAAATCAACCAGGGAATGTATTGTAAGTGCATAAAGTCCACAAGCTACAGCCCTGGATGAGCGTCTTTGAACAGGACATGTTGCGTGTGGAAGGTGACATAGGGCAGCTTGGTCAGCAAGTGGGTAACTTGGACATCATTGGTGAAGATGGTGAAGAGGATGATGATTGGAGACAAAGTGGCATGGTTGGCAGATGTGATTAAATAACATCTTATCATTCAATTGATTGCTTGAAATGTTATTTGTTGAATCATAGATGGTGCTTGGGTCATGTTGATATGATTCACATATGCCCACTTTGACAACTTTTCCCCACTTATCTGTAATATGCATTATGCATATTTACATATGTGTGATTGGTATTTATATATGTTTGATGTGCAATCACATATATGTGATTAGGGTTAACATCCATGTGATATGTATTCACATGTATGTAATTTGGATTCACGTATATATGAATGCACATCACATGTATGTGATTTGGATTCAGATGCGTGTGATGTGCATTCACATGTATGTCATTTGATATTACCTATGTGTGTTTGCATTCACATGTATGTAATTTACATTCACATATGTGTGATGTGTTTTCACACATAGGTGATTTCAAATCACATACGTGTGATGTGCATTCACGTATATGTGATTTGAATTCATCTATGGGTGTTTGCATTCACATGTAAGAAATTTATATTCATATTCAGATATGTGTGATGTGTATTCACATGTATGTGGTTGATACTTACATATCATGTGTACCTTTTTGATTGCACATGCGTGATTGGTATTGCACAATGTGTTTTCATTTTATATAGATATGTGATTTGTACTTCCATATGTGCAACTTTTGATTGCACGTGTGTGATTGGTATTCCCCAATATTTTTTTCATTTTAAATATACAGCCATTCCGATGTTGCTTGTCGCTCCGTTTTGAAAAAGAAAAAGTTGAAACTTAAGTTTTACTCAATAAAACTTCCAACTCAGCTGTAATTCAAGGGAATACAGCCAAATTTTGGGTTTTAACCGGTTAAAACTTAGGTTTTAAGCTCATAAACTTTTTCTTTTCAAAAGGGTGCAACAAGCAATATCGGAATGGTTGTATGTGATTTGATGGAATTCACATTCACATGTGTGTGATGTGTATTCACAAGGATGTGACTAGTACTTACAGATGTTGTGAGAACAATGATAACTATTTCTTATTTTTTGTTGTGTCGAGATTTAATCCAAAACTGGCAAAAACTGGCAAAAACTCCTTTTTGACCATGCAGATAAACACATATTGCAGGAAAAAGAAGGTTTAGGCATGTGACATCAAAAGAAATGGAGTTTTGGACCAAAGAGTAAACTCTAGGTAAAACTTGGCAACACCCATCACCTCAAAAGTTACCAATATATCTCACAAGGGCTGTAGATATGTTTAACATTTAATTGCACATGTGTGATTGCTTGTCGCCATTTTTGTCCATTTTCTGAGTATATGTGATTTAGTGAAATTTACACCACAGAAATTGATGGTAGGTTTCCTTAGGAGGCACAACGGAGGTGGAAGGTGTCCACGCGTATGTGTAGCGCTTTACTACATGTGCCTCCTAAAGAACTCCTTCCACGGCGGGAAGACATCATTATAGATCCGGTTGAACCAGTTAAAAGAATGATGACAAGTGATTGGTAACTAGACTAAACTATGTAGGGTCTGGTAAAATTTTCAATTATAAGTAATTAAATAACCAACGTTACAATCACAATTAAGAGAGTTCTTAAGGAGGACACAAACAAGATGAGGAAGGTTTCTCTTCTCTCATCTGTTGTCCACTTTTTATCTTTGTCATTCATATCTGTTTCCAAATCTATCAATAAATTTTCCCTATTTGAAACAAATAGTATTTTTAACAATACCAATCACTGATCTCAGATTGATTAATAATCATTTAGAAAAATTTTCAAATTTCTTTTAAAAACCAACTCACCCACCCCTTTCCAATAAGATATTATGAAAAGATAGAGTGGATTCACCAAAGAGTAGAGATTGGAGATTAAAACCGTAAAATAAAGATCTTGGTTTCACAAAACCAATCACTCTTTGCCTCACAAATATGTTCTTTAGAACCTAGAGACTTTCCAAATGGTCTCCTTTAGAGATATTTTCAGTGTAGTGGAATCTAGATTTTTCACTAATCTGGTTCTACAGTTATCAATTATATTCTGTTCCTTGGAACTGGTAATTATTGATTTACTGTTGATTATCACAAAAGAAGACATTCTTCGGAAAGACTCAGATTGATATCTCAAATAATTCTAAGGTAAGATTCAAGAATCAAAAGGTTTTTGCAAAACCCATACACTGGTGGTTTTGGACTGAAAAGTTGGGACCACCTAGATTTGATTATTAAATTATTAAGTAAATATTTATTATCATCTTGAATGTGTAACATATTGGTTAGTGTTTTACAAAGTTATCTAGTGGATTGGTCTGAAACCCAATTGAAGAGAGTTTTGGTGACCAGGTTTGCTACTTTTTTCAATCAGAAGTTTTCTTTGCCATAGGTTTGCCATAGGTTTGCCATAGGTTTGTTGATTTCCTTTGAGTCAGTATATCCTACAGTCAAGAATCAAGATCCCCTACATCACAAAATCTAACTCCAAATGTATGGAGGTATCACTCAACAGAATTCCTATCAGTCACCCCACAGATTATTGCCATTCTTTGTACCTCAGTATGGAAAAAATCATCACAACCCCCTTTCAACCTCAGACCTTTCATTTGCAAGTACAACTCACTATATCTACTGCTCTCTTATTTGTGTTCAAGGTCTTTTGCTCAACTCATCAGCTGTCTTCACTTTTAAAGACCAGTGAGATGCCAAGAGACACATCAGTGATGAAGTCAATGTATGTTTAATTTGCCAGATATAGTTGTGAAACAAGGATGAGATATTGGGAAGAAAGGCAAAAGGGTAAGACTTGCATCAGCAGTATCCAGAGACATATGTATAATACCGTGACTGAAGGGGAATCAGCAAACCTATGGCATACAAGACCTGTGATTGAAGAAAGCCGCAAACCCAGTCACCACAACTCTCTTCAATTGGGTTTCAGAGTAATTGATTCCTGTGGTGTTATATGCACACATGTGTGATGTGTATTCACATGTATGTGTCCATGTGACTAGTAATTACATATGTGTAACTTTTGATTGCACATGTGTGATTGATTTTTACCATTTTTTTTGAATATATGTGATTTGGTGTGATTTTTATTCACATATGTGACTTCTTTGATCACACTAAATGTAGGTCTTCATGATTCATATATATGGAAATCAAATTCACATCATTCACATATTTGTGAATTTAATTTACGTATGTGTCCATGTGTATGTGATTGATTCACATACAGTTGGTATTCACATGTACAAAGTCACAGGTTGTGATAACATTCAATATGGGCTGGCATTTGACATTGACATAGGTCTTTGATCCAACATGTTGTCTGCTTCAGGGCAGCAGTGCGTTGGTAGGGGTGTTGTGTATAATAGCCAAAGGCAAATACACTTTTCCCATTGGCTTATATCTGTCAAGTCTAGAAGCCACAGGTGCAGGACAACACTGCTCACCAGGTGCAGTTTGAGTTGTGTTGCACCACAGCAAGCAACAAAAGGCCACAACTTGCAATGTGTTGCAAGGAGTGACACAACATCAAATAGCCAGGTCTGATTGTGCCGGGGCCCGTCTGTTGTGCAACACAAAATGTGTGACAGTGCCAAACCAATTGAATACTATTATTCTGTGGAATGTAAGAGCATCCACAGCCGTGTCCCATAAACCATGACGTACGTAAATTGGGGATATTTTTATTCACAGCCATTACCCCCAAGCTCATGCTTATCCTGGACAATTCTCTATTTGCCAGTCAAAATAGGCCAAATATGTTCTTTTTCCGCTTGCACCCTAAATCATTCTGTACCTCACTTCTCCCATAAGGTCCAACTTGTACAATTGTACTCTCCGCAAATCACACATCTTCATAATCATCTAAGCCAAAACACAGATCCCAAATTATGCTACAAGCCAAACTTTAGGGAACCATGGCTGTACATGCTTCAAATTTTATACCTCAAACAGTTCCCTAAAAAATCTGTGCAACCCTCTGTATGTCACCAATTTACGGCACAACTGGGGATGCTCTAACACAACAGGTGTTGTTGTGGTTCAAAAGAAACACAGATACCAATAATCTTGTTGTACAGCAAAGTAGACTACAACAAACCCAAGGTATTCACAGTGTGGTGCAGTCTAAAAACTGACATGTCTCTGCAGTGCAGCACACAAAATCAGTGTTGCTAGCCAAAAGGTTGATTTGAGGTTGTTTCATTGAGGGGAGTTTGAATCATTTTTTTTGGAAGTGTTCAATTGAAATTGGTATTGTCCAACGACATTGGTAAACAAGAGGATCCAGATCATTGTACTCATCTCTTTTGCTTATTATATCCAAGATTCCAGTCATCCAATCTCACATTGAGTGGTAAGCATGGCTGGCATGCATCCACTACAGTTTACATATCTAGCTGACCTTTTGCTCACACAATAGCCAGGTACTCAGCACCCAAATCCGCTTGAAAACCGGTAATCCTATCAGATTTGGATGTTGGGCACCTGGCTGACAGATTGCATGCAGACTAATTAACTCCCGCAATCAAGCTCAGCACCGGAATCTGCTTGGATTACTAACGTCCAAGCTGATTTGGGTGCTAAGTGCCTGGCTGACAGGTTCTGCAAAGACTACTTAACTCACACATTAGCCATGCACTCATTGCCTGAATTGGCTCCAGGTTGCGCTTGCACAACCCATCTCCCCCCTGATTGGCTGGTAAACAAAGCTACACGACATGGTCTTGTCGGCTACGTGAAGGGTAGGTGACAAGCATGGGTGTGCGCCACACAGCATCCCTCATTCTCCTGTCACCTTTCCTACACAACCACCCGGCGAGAGAGTACACCAGGTGTATCTCACTTGGTCCCAGTCAGAAGGGCCCCGTGCTTGTGGTTGAGAAAACCTTTCAAGCAAAAAATAAACACAAAAAGCTTCAAAGGATGATTCATTGTGAAACACATGAATTATTTACATTTTATAAAACATTTCCATCACATCAGGAGAGAGAAAGGAGTTGACCACAAAATATGACGTTGGAAAAAAATACAAAGACAGTGTCAGGCTGAGAGACACAATGTTGATTGTCTGTTTTCAGGACAATAGAGAACCAAATTATGTGTGCAACACATTGTTGATTTTCTATGCCTTCCCACTGCCAGGGCAAGTACTCATGTTCTGGTACAGACAAAATGTATTTCAAAACAGAGACCAAGGATAGAGGTTTTGGGAAAAGAAGAGCTGGCTGGTCATTTGCATTCACTACCAACTTTAATCAAGAAAACAAGATGCCAAACAAGTGTCAGTCACATTAAGGTCAGATCTCAAAGACGGGTGAGAGCAAGTTAGTTTTGGAGATAAAACTATGAACACACGCATAACTTCTACGCTTTGGCATTGAACAGACTCTTTGGTAGCAAATTTCTGGTAGCAATCAACTGTTGAGAGACATACATGTAAGTGAAGATGACTGAAAAGGAGTCGTAGGGGTAAGAGACCACGAGGTTTGAACTTTTGAGAAGCCCGACTTACACCCTGCGCCAAAGCGCTGATAACCTCCAGGACAGATTGTGTCCTTGATCTTTTGACCATCTTTAGTACAAGTGGTACCCGCTTTTGATGAACAAGATATAACACCAATCAGCCTTTGACTACGTTTGAAAGAAAGAAGAGCAGATAGAAAAGCAAAACCCAATGAAGGTTTCACTCTCCAGCGCTACTGTGTTATATGGAAAGTACTCAACTGGGTGCCATTCGTCTCGGTTCTGTAGGAACTCCAATTATTGTACAGGTGAAGGAAGAGTTTCTGCCTATACAAACTGTTGTGGAAAGGACCGCGAGATTTAGAAGTTTCAGCACTGGATGAGGTTTCTTTGAGCTCGAGACAGACACATCGCAAAGCGTGTCTTACTATTGTTGCTACCAGGTTTGGTGTTCGAATTAGCCCCCGGCGGGAACCAGGCTACACTGCAAAAATCTAAACAGAAGTGAAGCAATATGTTAACATATGTTTTTTATATCTTCCTAGGTACTTACCACTAATAGAGTCTCGTAGAATACAAGAGGATGGAAAACTCACGACTGCCGGGTGGGATTAATGTGATAACTGGGCCACTGTCTATCTGGGCCAGAGACAGACTTGAGGGGAGAGCGCAAAGGGCTACGAGGAAGTAGGCGGTGAACATGTTGTTTTTCCTTTCTGGAACGGCTGACTGAAATTCTTGAAATTCTTGATGTTATGAGTTGAAGGCCTTTTGATGAAAGATAAGGAGAAAAATTGAAGCTGTGATATTTGGTTTTGATTTGGCTATTGACAATCTATGGACGAAAGACTGAAGTGAGTGTGAGGAAAGGATAACTTCAGTATCGCGAGCTGATCACAATCTTATACTCAAAGTCAACTCGAACTCACGATGGCTGATGGATGACAACGTCGCTTCTGATTTCGTACAACAGATACAAATTCCAAGGCAAAATACGAAAAAGGACATGTTCAAATGTCGTCCAGGGTCCAATTCGTGATTCAAGTACCTTACCCATCTTTCACTACCTATTGCGCCCTTCAAGCCCGCTCGGCAAAATCATACGAGGGCCAAGAGAAAGCAATTCAACCTGAGTCCTATTCCTTGAACTTGAAGCGGACGCCGCGCTAGAGCGGATTTGACTTGAAGTTGGAGGTCTATCTTTGTCCAGGTGAACTTTGAACGCAGTGCGCACAGTGCGCTCCTGTGTATAGAAAACACATCTGATGCATCCTTATCCCTACGACTCACAAAATCTCCGAAGTCCATGAGATGCAATCTCAAGGCAGGTGTTTCCGCAAGTCAAAGAGCTCACATTGATCACTGAATGAAGTGATAATTGAACTAAACGGACCCAATCCCTCATGATCTCGCCGGTATTGTCGAACTGAGCACTCGGAAAATGTCTAAAAATCACCCTCAACCAATAAAGAGCAGACTATCAAACAATGCGGAAATATGAGCACTCTTCTTCCTGTCTCATTGGTATGCCACGATCTCTAACTTAAAACAAGTCCGAAAACTGACGCCTACTGACGCACTCGAGCTAGCTTGTAAAGATAGAAAAAGGTATATAAAAATGCGAAGCAATTAAGTAAGTTTAAAGATAGTCGATCTAAATGGACATTTCTCTTTGCAGGCACCTTTTCAACCACTGCGATTCTGGCACGCCTTAATGGGTAATGCTTTGTATAGGAGTTCCACATTTCCAAAACAAAAGCAAAGAGATCTCGACTCATGAAAAGTAAGTCTGATATTTTATCCCACATCTCTCCCTCTCTCTCATCCAAAATGAATCTAAATAATTTTCCAAACCATGTGTCAACCATTCTGATTTCTAATCATCTTTGAATGATTTTGATTTTTTCAATCAAATAAGCTTCTACTTCATCTGAACAATCTATTCTACAATTCAATCCAATTGATAATAATCAGTTACACAAACCAAGAAGGAGAAGATATGAAGATTGATATTTAGGAGGTATATGATCAAGCACCGGTGTGATCAAGTGGAGATTGAGACTCCACTAAAACTGATTAATAATCATTGTGATTTGATTGAGATATTGAGGTATATTGATCAGGAGAACCAGTTGATTGATTAGGTATTGTTGTTTTTACATCAAATTAGATTGGTCCGTGTCTGAAATTTCAGTTTGGTTGTACAGTCCACAACAACCACTTTTATGGTATTTATCTCGGAAAAAAGCAGGAGATTGGGATTCTGAGAGGGTGAGATTGTGTTTTCCATTTCTTGGGATGGAACATTACAAAAATTGTGATTACACGACCGATCCCAGTTTACATACAGGTGTACCGCACGCATCACCGAGTACTCAGGGCCGGGCTATTATTGACTCGTTGGAACTTGGAAGTCGATCACGCTCAGTGGCAGTCGATCTACAACCACCACACCTCGACAACCATATCCTCTAGTTGCTCGTCAAACCCCCTGAATTTTCTTTGCTTCGACTCCTTCCTCAAGCGCGCCATGGCCGACGAATCAGAAATGCTTGATCCTTCGCTGCAAAATGTACTCGATCAGAAATGTCAGTGTGTGGCTTTGACAATATGAGCTATCATCTCTTTGCGCTGCTTTCCTTCACTGCTAACTTGTGTGTTGTCGTTGCAGCACTCAAATGGATCTTTTGCGGTGCGTGAACCAAGATGTTGAACTCGATTTTGCCGTTGGCTCAAACCTCTGTCTTTTCTTTTCATGGGCAAAATGCAAACCACCCGATCAATAGGAGGCAAGGGCGGTGTAGGTATGTTGCTTTGGAGCATATTGTAGTACTAATCCTGTTAGATCCTGGATTTTAGTCTCCCTATATCGGGCTACCACAGTATTCGAAGACAAAATCAATACTTACCAGTCATCTTCAATTATATCCAGGCAAAACAACCACATCATGTTCCTTGGCGGTCCAGCTCGCCTCTTGCCGAGAATCAGTGCTCCTGATATCTACCGATCCCGCACACAATCTTTCTGACGCTTTTGGTCAGAAGTTTGGAAAAGATGCAACTCTCGTAAACGGTTTTGAAAATCTTTACGCCATGGAGATCGACCCTAACTCAAGCTTACAGGAGATGGTCGAGCAGTGTGAGATCCATTATGAAATTCATACCTTGATCTTCTTCATGCTCTAAAACTTCGCTGTTATGGGTTTAGCGGAGGCACAAGGAGGTGGTATGGGTGGCATGATGCAAGACTTAGCCTTTGCAATTCCTGGAGTCGACGAAGCAATGGGGTTTGCTGAAATCATGAAGTAAGCTGGCCACTGCTCCTGAAAAATGCGATTGATTATCAAGACTGATTCATTTTCACAATGATCATCCTCTGACAGGCATGTGAAGTCGATGAAATATTCCGTTATCGTGTTCGATACTGCTCCTACTGGGCACACACTTAGGTTCTTGTCTTTCCCGGCAGTTCTCGAAAAGGCCCTAGGCAAGCTTTCGACATTGAGTGGTCGCTTTGGACCCATGATGCAACAGTTCGGCTCAATGATGGGCGTGAACACTAACACGGATGAGATGTTTGGCAAACTGGAAGACATGAGAGGTGTTATCACCGAGGTTAACAACCAATTCAAAGACCCAGTGAGTAGAATCTAGGTCTATCAATAGACTGTCATGAGTATATTTACTGATGTGTTGGTTTGATTTTCTTGTCTTATTGTGTCCTTTCATGTGCTAGGATTTGACAACATTCATCTGTGTCTGCATTTCAGAATTTCTGTCATTGTACGAAACTGAACGATTGGTCCAAGAACTCACCAGTTATGAAATCGACACCCATTGTATTGTGGTCAACCAACTCTTATTCCCAAAAAAGAACAGTGATTGCGACCAGTGCAATACTCGTTACAAAATGCGTGAGTTTCATGATATCTTGTCAGAACCAGTTTTACTTTGTTGTATTGATTGATCATCTGTGACTTTCAGAACAAAAATATCTTCGAGAGATCCACGATCTGTACATTGAAGATTTTCACATTGTCAAAATGCCCCTGCTGACGGAAGAAGTCAGGGGAACAGAAAGGATCAAAAAGTACGCTCTTTCATTTTATAGGAAGTATAGATACTTGCCTGATTTAATGTTAATCAACCCCAAACAGATTTTCCAAGATGCTTATAACCCCCTACCAGCCTGGGACAAGTGGGTCAAGTGCAGCCTAACTGGAATTGCTACCGCCTCCTTTCTGTTCCGTCTTCTCAGCTGTCACATACTACCACTTTGCCTCTGCAGTAACTAAACTAATTGCAACTTACCACCGCGCTTCGTATCCTTATGACTTTCCCAATGGATTGATTTCGACCCACTGTCTGTACTGCACGTACGAGGCGATTTGTGATCAAACTCGAACGCTAGCGGTTGCTAGAGTAACAGCTCGAATGTTGTCAAAAGCCTCTCCACAGGGTTGACTGACTTATAAAACCATGTCGATTTCACGTTTCCTTTGCCCTGATAGCTACCGATCAGATTGTGCGGATTGACATTACTTGTGCATGCTCTCGAAGGTCTCTGGAGTTGATTTTGCTAACGTGGGCGGTAATCTTCGGTAATCTTGGAAGATTCAAGTTGACTTTTCTTGAAACAAAAACTCCTCTAAAGTTTAACTCCTAGAAACTATTCAGCTCTGAATTTGACTGATCTTCATCGGGGCCAAAGCTATGATATCAGTGCCACGAATGCATTAAGTGAAACTGAAAGTCCAAGGGTAGATGGAAGCTTGGCATGCTTTATTGGAGATTGGATTGAGGAACAGGTGATGTCTATCCACATCCCTTCTCTTCATTATCAAATGAAATCATGATAATTGAGTATCAGACTGTATCAGAGCCCGATCGAGAATAAATTAGAACAGTCTGTATGTATCGAAGTTCAGACAATTATAGTGAATCCTAGTGAATCTCTATCAACGGGAAGCTTGAGGTCGACTAAGGGATGAGTGCACAAAATTTTGAACCTCAGATGAGAATGATGAAGCTAATAGTGCTTTATCGTCTCTCGCAAAATTCAAATCACCTTTGCCCTCTATTATGGCCACCTTTGTTACAAGAAGCTGCAGAGGATGGTCGAGTCAAGAGTTTTGAACATCTCCAATGTTAAATTTTTTGTCTTATACTTCTGATATCATGGTCGCAAAAGATGACCCCAATGAGCAAAAAGCCGCACAGTGATCTCCCTGATCTCCGAGTCCCCTGTTTCTGACTCTGTTTTCAAACTTCTGCTCTCGACCCAACTTTTGGGGAGCCAGATTTTTTAACGAAAGCCCACCAACCGCACGCTTTGCCCGGAGCTTGTCTCAATACATGAAAACCCCGGATTTTGCAATATGTAGTCATGCCGGTCATACTCGTGATCCAGAGTCATTACCCGCTTGGACAGCATTGGAGGATGTAAAGACAACGCGTGAGGTGTGAGAAAAAGTCAAGGGACCAGGTTATCGAGTTGAGGCAAGTTCTAATTCTGCTTTGGACCATCCATCATATGCTAGACACTCATTTATTGTATTTTCAAATCCTGACAGTACTATCATATCCTAATCTCATCTGGCCAAGCACCTCAAGACTCCTAACTCGTAAAGAGAAAAAATAATTGATGGTATGAGAGCGAATCTGAATGCATCAGAACTCATCACAGCTCTTTGAACAAAACTTTCCATGAAGAAGACGTTCCAATCCCATTACGTTGACTTATCTAACTTACGAATCGAATCAAATAAAAAAACGATACTTCAATGTCGCTTACGACTGACAGTAGGATCCAATGTGAAATAAGAAATAGCTTGCCAATCTAGCCATTTACTAAGTATTAAACTTGAAATAGGTTTAGCGTTTTCTATTCTTACAGCATCAGCCACTTTATTTTCAAAGACCGATAATTTGAAAGGCTTTGATATAGTCGAGTAAGAGATGATGTAAAAAAGTACACGAGGAATAATAAATATTCCAAAAACAAAATTAGTCATTGGTTGTGTAGACTGTTAGATTGGTATAAATTTTCTTACCTCATATCTCAAGATTTCCATATAAAATTTCTCATCTTCTACACAAACTCTACTAAGAAGCTCATCTATTTCCTCAGATGACAATTTGTTTTTCTTGGGTACTGGGATCTTTTTCTGTTTCTTGAGATCTGAAACTTGACTTAATCCTTCATCTGTTAGTTCCCGGTTATAAATCGCTTCCCAAAGTTTGATCACTCTAGCTAATATTGCTGGCTTTGTTTTGGGAAGTGCCGGAGGTGGTGATGAGGTTTCAGAAGTTGGTTTCTGGTCTTGTTGTAGGCTATGTAAGCTGAAATACTCGACTTCGAGTGCTGATTTTGAATAGGAACTGTAATCTGGCATTACTTGCTTAGACGGTATCCACTCCAGCTCTCCGCCGCAAACGCTGTCATTATCGTCAACATTTAGATCAGTACCTGGTCGTGAAATTTGGCTCTCGTCAGATGCATAGCCGCCTCCAGTACCACTAATGTATGTATTTGAGGCCGTGACTTTGCGATTTGCTTTTGTACCTAGTGAAAACAAGTGATGTCAAACGCCCATTTATCAGCTTTCAACGTGGATAACCACAGTATGAAGATATGTGCAGACCCCCCGTATGATGCTCACCTTGTTGACTTGATGTTGGGGATGATAATCCTTGTTGATCAAACCTACTGGCTTCTTTGTATGAACCAGTGTGCCTTTGATCCATGTCCGATCCTTCATCTAAAACCCTCTGACCAATATCACCTTCTTCAAAACTAGACTCATCTTCTAAAGAAAGATAATTATGACGCTCTTGAAGTCTTAAAACTTCTAATACAGTCTCACTCCAAGCATCTTTTGCCCTTTGAATTAAAATCGAACTAGATGCATCACTTGCATCTTCAAATCCTAGTCTTTCATTTTCATTTTGTATTTCTTTTCTTGTCCATTTTTCAAAACTTGGGATTCTTTCTATATTACAATCATCAATTCTATTAGTACTTGATTCAAGATTTTGATCAGAAATTTCATTTTCAAACGCTTCTTTGTGAGAATTTTGGGCTTTTGGTTCACGTGGTGTGGCTTCCACGCCACTGATTTCATTCATATTCGGTACAGCTTCATCCAGGCTCTCATTGTGCTCTCGGGGTGATCTTGGGTGCGTCAATGGAATCAGCTTGTGATAGTATGCTGAGGCATGACATTATGATCAGAGAACTCACAACTGACCGTTGAAAGTCAAAGCCATCATGACCGCCTGCGGCATCCCACAAAGTGTAAGGTGTCTTCCCATTACTAGAGATCAAGGAATTGCGAGTACGACTTCGTGATCTAGCTTGTGCCAATAATGTCGAACTATGTATGAGATCTGGGGGAGATGGGGTAGCAAGCTCATCTCCAGAATTCAATGCTGGCGTTGCGGGTGGATGATTAGCTTGCTCGGTGTCGCCTTTCAAAGCCTGAAGATTACCAGGGTGTAGTAAGTCGTGCGTTCCAGACCGGATAGAACTATCCGCAGAGCCGATAAAGTGCTTCTCTGCCGTATGATGAGTTGGTCCAGATGTAGAAGGATTCGGTTGGTGTGATCTACTTTGTTGAGGAGGTTTAAAAAGTAGATCATTTTTCAATGATTTTTGAACTTGAGGGTCTTTTTCTAATATATTAAGTTGTACATTTTTACTTTGAATATGAAGATCAAGTAATGAAGAAGAATCGGTATCATTCGTGATTTGTTTATCTAAGATTTTTTGAATTCGAGTCGTAATATCTTTAGGACGTATGAGATTTGTTTTGGCACATTTTTTGATATGAGTTAATTTAGACCTTGGTGCTTTGTATGTATTCCAATCATCAGAACAAGCTGGACAACTATTCAATCGAGTAAGAGTATGATATGGGATATCGACACTTTCGTCAGATGAACTATTTGAACTAGCGCTGATGGTGTCAGATTTTACAGAGATAGCTCTGATCCTTGTTTTAGGTGGTATGCTAGGTGCTGTTATATACCAAAGGTAAAGAAACGGGAGATGAGACAACAATCAGCTTTCCATTTCTCACCACGACAAAGCTCCTGAAGGAACTTCATCCAGGAAGGATAACGATCTCACATTTGCTACCCCTTGAAGATTGCCGGTCTATGAAGCGCGATACGTTCGACTTTCCCAATTCGATGCTACTATCTGTCTCTACGTGGATCGAGTTGGTTCCGCGTTCTTCAGCATGAACATCGATAGCATTTGAAGTTGTGTTGATTGACGTAGCAAGATTCTCAGGTAGCGATTGTTTGTCGAGAGAAGAACATTTTGTTGCTGTTGATGATTCCTCTATTCGCGTTGTGTTCGATGTACTGAGCTTGTGGACCGACGAGACGATTTTGCCACTCTCAGTAGGAATGATAGCCTTTTGAAAATATGGAGACTTTGACTTGAAAGTAAGATTGGAAGCTAATTTCAATTCATTTTTATTGGGTTTAATGATATTTGTTGATGATTTGTTTAAATGAGGTTCTCTTGAGTTATGAATGGCCAAAGATGAACTTGATGGTTTAGTTTGTTTTGAAAGTTCCGCAAGTCGTTCTGGTTCTGAGTCTTCGCAAATTATAAACTCCGATGAAGTAGATGCGAATGAGAGTTCTTCCTCTGATGGTTTCATGATTATCGATATTGCAAGTGTGGATAATAAGGAAGCTCGAATTCGAAATGGTGAACGTTTGGTGTTGTTACATAGTCAGTCCACGCGTCGAACATCGCGTGTCCAGAGGACCGCGATGGAAAAGCCTTGATCATGTGTAAACGTGACTCTCATGATAAGCTTAACTGAGGGCGCGGCGAACGCGCAAAGAGGGGCTTAGTTAAGCTTACTCTCATGATGTAGCTTGGCTACAAAATCAATCGAGCAATAATTTGGGCAAGGCAACCTCAACGAATGTCGAAAACCTACGCCAGACACGGTGGCTTTCTACTTCGAAAAGAAGATTCCATAAGAGCATCCGCACTCGTTTGCGGTTGTTAACTTGGTCACGTGCGGTAACAACCGCTACATTAAGCAAAAAATGACTTAACTCAGCCAAATTTCGCACTCGTTTGTGTTAGTAGCACTGTAACGTTTGTAACTTTACCGATAATGCATGTGCTCCGCAGTGGTCATGCAGTAAGGTAACATTCAATTTTTCAAGTACGATTTCAAGTTTAAGAAAACAAAGGCTATATTTGAATACATCTATTGATCTTGTGAAAATTATAAAGATTTGAAACTACACAAGAAAGATGAACAATCTGAACCAATCCAAACTTTTTTTAATGTTTGATTCAGCTTTTTTCAACTGTTTGGTTTGTATCTCTTGATCTTAAAAGTCTTCCAGTCATTAGTCTTTAGAATTCAATTTTCTCATCTATCTCTATACATATGTGAAGTCTGAAATTCTTCATATTGATTCGATTGGTTTGAAGTCGAGTTGAAGATTTTCAAACGACCTATTTTAGAACAAAAAAACAAAAAAAACAATCGTAAAAACATCAATTGGTGTTAAAAGGTCTTGATTCAATTCATGTGACTGGGTGAGAGAGGTGAAAAGACGATGTTTGTTGTTGACTTTGGTATTGGAGATTGGGCTGAGTTGAGTTTTTGGAGTTGTAGTTGCTGTGAACAGGTTGTGATGTGTGCTACCGCATGCGTTAGCCAATCGGTAGATTTACCGATTCGCTAACGCAAACTGATGAAAAATTAACTACCGCGGGGCTAATTGTTCACCGGTGCGGAAAAGACCCCGCGGTTGCGTTAAATTTAACCTTACCGCACTCGATTTACCGCACGAGTGCGGATGCTCTAAGAGCATCCACTATCATGATGGTGATTTATCGTAAGTTTTGCGTTCCTGACCGCGAAATTTAATCACGCGTGTTTTACCTAAGTTGGTAACCGCATGAAATCCACTACGGATTGATGTAATGTCTGATTTAACTACGATAAATCACTGTGAATCAACCAGATCCACAGTGGTTTGATTTTGCGATGATTTATCATATCTTTCTCACAAATCCCATCCGAAAAACCATCCATCAGATGCCCACTACAAGTTCCTTGAAGAGACACATCGACTGTCTTTTGAAGTCTTCAAACCACAATGATGAGGAACATCAAGAATTTGAGCAACTTGTCTAGAAATCTTGTTTTATAGGCTTCACACACCACCTTCACCATTTCAGACTCAATTCCAAACAGATTGAGCTCGAGCTCAGCCTACTCAGCAATTGACTATTGTGCACCTCAATTCTTAAGGTGTCTCGCAAAAGATTAAGATATAGGGTGATGTTGTGATTGAAATCGATTCAATTCAAAGTGCAATGTTCCGAGATGTGATATCTCGAAGTTGAGATTTGAGGATGAAGTTTGAAATTTGAAGTTCGAAAGTGAGGTTTTGATGTTTGAAGTTTGAGAAATGAAGTTTCATATGCAGTTTGAAGTTTTGGGAACAGTAGTTTTGACTTGATTTCCTACGATAAATCAAGTCGTAGGCTTGCGTAGATTTGAACACACGGAGAGCAAGATTTGATGCAGTCGTACGGACCGCAAGTCTAAAACAGGTCCATAGTGGACCTGTGTATAATTTAGCGTTAAAGTTACGATAAATCACTTGGTTACCGCACCCATAGTGGATGCTCTAAGCTCATAGGCATGGTTCCTTGTGACTATAAAAGGGACGCTCGCAATCTCACATATAGCGTCAGTACTCATCTTATTCCAAAGCAAATCTGTGTATCTGTCTCAATCCAAGAATATTTCCATTGTCCATACCAAGCCTTATCCGTGAACCTTGACATTTTTTACTTAGAACCTTTTTCTCTGAAAATAACATATCATGTTGAATACCATCAATTTCACCTTGATCTTAACCATCCTTGTTGCTATCTGTAACGGAACCCCAACTTCAACGCTGAATGGTCATCCAATTATCGCTCGATCTGAATTCGTAAGTTATTTTGTTATTTTCTAATCTTCGAATTGATCATCAAGAATCAAATACATCGATTCCAATCACTGAGCCATGCCTTCTTTTCTATCAGCTTGGACTCGGAAAACGGTTCCCAGCGGATGGGCGCCAGGGCCAGAACAATGGACACACAACTAATAATCAAAACAAAGGTCCTGTTGAGACTAGAAACCGGGGCAGCGGCCCTTTGGGCCGTTAAAACATTCAACTCGAATTGTTCAGATTCCGATGAAATCTTTATTCATCATGAGTTACCCTGCACAAGTATTCTCCATCACCCAAACCCATCTTGTTAGACAACTAGCTGCCTGCATTTCACTCGCTTATTCTATCTTGCTTGTATAAATAAATAAATGCATTGCATGTTGTATGATTTCTTTTGCTTCGCTGTAAATATCAATATTTTGTAAAAAAAAAGGCTTCCGTGCTGTAAACAGAGGAATGGAAACCTACACAGCCAATCTAAATGAGCGATGGGTTATGATCATCTTCGTCACTCTATCTGAGCACATTGACTCGTACAATGTAATGACGACAATGAATCTTAACGCTAGGCGTGACAACCTCCCTGAGGAAACGATGTAAATTGGCAGTAATCATTCGAGCTTGCAACTAACATGGCAAACTGAAATTTGAGCTACGCTATTACGAAGTGAATGAAGTGTCGTGATGCACTCGAGCTGTGTGAAAGATTGAAAACTTCCAATGATTCAGATCTACGTCGAAAACCTGATCAAGGTATCCTAAAAGAAGAAGTCAATGTCACCTTCTCCCTTACTTCATGAAGTTCAACTAGGCGTTTTTTCACGATTCCTCTATACAACGTGGCAGGGAATCCCAATTGGGATTCGGGCGGCTTACCTCACAGAAGGGAAAGAAGACCCGTACCACAGCTGTTCAACGAAGAAACAACTTGAGGATCTCAGCGAATTTTGGGTCTTCTGCTTCCTTATAAGCCAGTGCCTCTCAGGCAGATTATCATTCTCTCAACCCACATTTACCAAGTCCTGTGGATCTTTCCAACCAATTTCTTTTCAATTGTACATACCTTTTATTCGTTAACTTCTTTTCATTTCGTCACTTGAACTTTTCAAATTTCTTTCTGTTTCTTTTCGATTACATCTTGACAACTTTTTGATACATCTTCATCTTCATTTTATAAATCATGTCTAACTTTAAAAGTCTTACCATTCTTTTAACTCTCCTACTTACAATCTGTAACGGATCACCAATCGCTTCGTTTAATGAACTTGAAAAGACACACGAATCTACAATCGTCGCTAGATCTAATCTTGTAAGTCTTTTCTTCCTTTACCCTTGACCTTGATGGCTCAACATATCGAAAAACCCATCTGTTTTTTCATCAATCAACACGACGCTGATTCATTGATTTTCTCTTGCTTTGTTTAGCTTCAAGGACCGGTGCCAGATCACAACCAAGCCTTTGAAAAACGAACTTTTGGTGGAATGGGAGGCAGCATGCCCGGATTTGGTATGCCAGCATTTGGGGGAGGCCATGGGACGGGTGGAATGCCCGGTTTTGGAGGAGCCGGTGCTTCAGGAGGCTTTCCTGGTTTGGGAGGTCTTGCTGGATTAGGCGGTGGTGCTGCGAAAACTGGAGGTGATTCCAAAACTGGAGGTGATTCCAAAACTGGAGGTGATTCCAAAACTGGCGCGAGTGGTGTTATTCCAGGAGCAGGTGGATCCTTTCCAGCGTTGGGAGGAGGTATGCCAGCACTGGGTAGCGCTGCTGGTAAGACAGATGGTGCTGCTAAGACAAATGCCGCTGCTAAGCCTAATGGCGAAGATAAGCCTGCTGGCGAAGATAAGCCTGCTGGCGAAGATAAGCCTGCTGGTGATGCTGGCGCTGGTGCTGAGTCAAGTTAACTTGTGATAGTGCTGCATAAAATGTGATATTGCTGGTGATAGATTGGCAGCTAGATCTTCTTGAAGTTGTAGTCCTCGGTGTGCGAAGCAGTTTTGTTCGAGTACAACTTGTATTCAATATAATTCCTCACTCAATTTTTTATCAGTAAATAAAGTGTACTTTCCTGAGCTTTTGGCAAGGATGTATAATTACTTAAGATTTTCGCCAAATGATAATTTCCTACACTTGAGTCTAATGCTTTACAATCTTTTCATGACTCGACTGCTCAGCTATCATGACGCACTTCAGTCACAGCTCGGTGAAAGCGTGGCACCCAGATGTAAAGGAGACAATTTTGAAACGCAATGGAATGATAGTATTAGTAAGCCATTCCACGCTACCTCAATCCCAACCCAGTGAGATGCAATAATTGACCTCATGGCATGGATTCGGAACAGTACTTGAACTTTTTGTCTCTTCGTGTCCCGTGACTTGAAACCCAGTCAATCAAACCTAGCCAACTTCAATATCAAGGAAACCCAGCACCTCGATCATTCAAGCTGGTTGATGGTCGAAAAACGTTTGATAGTTTTTGTTTCACCCAAAAATCTTCTTCACCATGTCTTCAAAATACTTTCAAAAACTTGCCTCCGATCGCTTACATGTCAGTTTGATTAATCTTTTTCCTACCCCAGCCTATTTATGACTCTATACAGTCCATCCAATTTGTTCAACAGCGCGCGGGGAATCTCACTCCTCTTTGCTCCAAAGATTTCATGTAATAAAGATTTGTAGGTAATTTTGCATGAATATAAACAATTTTGTAAACCAAAACTTTCTAGATCGCAACGATTAGCCCAAATTTATGACGTCTCGTTAAAATAAGACAGGTACCAAAGTTCCAAGAAAGTCTAGATTCACAAAGAGTCACCTATCGTGGCGCTGAGGTGATAGACTTGGACGTGAGCTGAGAGTGCGTTCGGTAGTGCAGTGAAAGGTGTAATGAAGTGCGGGGGAATTTGAGCAAGGCATCCAGTGATTGATTTTAACGTCATGCCTGAGGCCGATTGAGACTGTTCGAAAGACGATTTAGATTTCAAACCCTCCATGACTTCATAGACTGCCGAAAGTTCAGCCAGGCGTCATAGGCTCCCGCGAGTTATACGTCTTATCCTCACTCTGCACAATTTGACAGGGATCCTTCATCGATTTCCGCGTTGCTCGCTCCACAGAAGGGCAAGAAGGTTTTTTTCGCCACCAAGTCCCCCTTACCTTGGTGCCTCGTGGCGAAAAATATGACTCGTCGAGCATGTTGAAAGATTATTTCTTTGCTTATAAACCAACACTTCTCAAGTGCATCAGAACTCCCGCATCTACATCAATCTCTATCTCATCTCTTTCGAGTCTAGCGGGCCTCGCAAACCAATTTAATTTCAACTGTACATATTGTTTCAACCCATCACACGACTTTTTTCTCTCTTACTTTTGATTTAACATCATCATTTTCAGATTTTCTTACTATAACAAATCTTCAATCCATTCTTCTATAAACCTTTTGTTTCAACAACAAACCATTCTTACATACAAGATGTCTAGTTTCAAAAATCTCACCTTTCTTTTGATTGTTCTTCTTTCAACCTGTTACGGATCTCCAGTCAATAATCTCAATGATCTCAAAACAAGAAACATTCCCTCAATCACCCCTAGATCTACTCTCGTACGTTTTTTTCCTCTTCTTTTCGTCATCTTATCAATCGACTACAAATTTTCTTACTTTAAATCCATCCTCATATGTCTAATTCTTTGGCTTTCATTACTCTTCATCAGTTCCAAGAACCGGCACCAAACCATATTCATGCTATTGTGAAACGAACTTTTGGCGGAATGGCTGGAGGAGGAAAGGGGGGTAGTATGCCAGGAATGGGTGGTGGTTCTGGTCTAGGTGGTGGTTCTGGTCTAGGTGGTGGTTCTGGTCTAGGTGGTGGTTCTGGTCTAGGTGGTGGTTCTGGTCTAGGTGGTGGTTCTGGTCTAGGTCTAGGTGGTGGTTCTGGTCTAGGTCTAGGTGGTGGTTCTGGTCTAGGTGGTGGTTCTGGTCTAGGTAGTGGCGCCAAACCTCCAGGAGCCGCTGGAGGTTTAGGAGGAGGCTTACCAGCACTAGGAGGTGGTCTCGGGGGTGGTGCTAAGGCCGGAGCTGATGCTAAGACTGGCGCCGATCCCAAGGCTGGTGCTGACACGAAGACTGATAGCAAACCGAAGACTGGTGCCGATGCTAAGCCTAGCGCCGATCCCAAGGCTGGTGCTGATGCGAAGACTGATAGTAAACCAAAGGCTGGTGCGGATCCCAAGGCTGGTGCTGATGCGAAGACTGATAGTAAACCAAAGGCTGGTGCGGATCCTAAGGCCGGTGCTGATGCGAAGCTCGATAGCAAACCAAAGACTGATGGTGATAGTAAGACCGGTCTTGATTCCAAGGCGGGTGCTGATGCCAAAGCTGGTGCTGATCCGACTAAAAGTGGTGCTGATGCCAAGCTTGATAAGCCTGCTGGACTCGGAGGTTTAATGTGAAGACTTTTGGTGTTAGTGAATGTCTAGTAGTCTTCAAATATATGTTAAATTTGTCTTCATAATTCCTCACTCAATCAGTTATCATTAAGCTATACCTTCCTATGCTTTTGTTATGAAGAAGGCGTAATCAATACTATCGTGAAACCCAGATATCTTTCCAGCCCTTGTGAATTGAAGATGAGCATAGGATAGGACAAAGTCATACGCATTCTTCTAGCTTTCAATTTGCTCATCTTCCTTCTTGTGAATTGTTGACTTCCCGTTCATTGGCTGGTAAAAATTTGCGGAGTCTGAGTTTCATCTCGATTATGTGAACAGTGACATGTTGTACATAGTAGGATGATCACGTGACATATACTTGAACTTGTCGCGTCTTCGAGGTTCACGCTCGCTGCTTTGGAATCCAACCGTCAAGCCACTTCCACCAACTTCATTTACAAAACCAAGACCAAGACCAAGACCATGTTCAACTCAAAAGCTCGTGCTGAACTTGGAATCGGTATTCAATCCAACAACCTCAACGATCCTATCTTATCAACACTACAATATCAAACTCGATTAAACTTTTACTCTCAACCTCCTACTACTGATATCACAATCGATCAATTCGAAACTTGGGCTATAAATCGTCTTAAAGGTAAGCACAATCTGAGATTTTGAAATCTGATCAATCGAATAAACAACTCATAGATGTTTTTTTGTTTGATAATGTATTAGTTTTGGCTGAAATTGAAAATAGTTTATCAAGAAATCGATCATTTGAAGAACTTAAACCGATCTTAACAAATAGATGTAAAGAATGTTTACCATTATCTGCCAATACAGCAAAATCAGTAGATTTAGATTCACAAAGAAAAATCGATCATTATTCTCATTATATCCTAAGATTAGCTTTTTGTAGATCGTAAGAAAGATTTCGAATTATCCTATCAATTTTGAATCGTTTACTTATATCATTTTCTTTCGATTTGGTTTGATTCGAAAATAGTGAAGAACTTAGCTCTCGATTTGTAAACGCTGAAACTTTATTATTCAAATTCAGATTTGAAACTGAAGATACTTTAGAAAGGATCAAATTTATTCCTTCTTTAAAGATTGATTGGCAACAAGTCGATCAGAATGAAGTAACACATATCAAGACCATGATGAAAGATCCTAATGAAGATACATATTACAAAGTACCTCTTCCTCACAGTGAATTATGATGCATTTAAATCTTCAATAACTGATCATTTGCATCTTTTTCAACATAGGTTCGTTGGACAAAAGTTCCAGATCTCGTCTCATCAAGAAAGGTTTACTTGAAAGCTGGTTATGCTTACGTCTCTTCAAAAGATCAAGCCTCTATCATCTTTCAAGAGTTTTCATCTCGTCTGAAAAAAGCATTAGAAGTGAGTAATTTTGTTACTTGATCTCCTGATGTCCCAGTCTGATCAAACTGAATCCATCGCAGATCACATCAAAGCATCTTCCCGACCTCGACGAAGATTCAAGACTATTACCCGTACTGGAACATCTTTCTCTCAACTTCTTAGCTGGAATCTCCGGTTCACAATACGTTGCACGGAATCCAGGTGATCCTGATAGTGCAGTCTTCACATCAGATATGGTTGATGATCTCGCAAAACAACATTTCCCACCTTGTATGAGACATTTATGGAATATCTTACGAAAAGACAAACATTTGAAATATGGAGGAAGACAACAATTCAACTTATTCTTAAAGGTAATGTTTCAAATTCTTTTTCTTATCGAATCCATTTCTCGGATCCATCTATGAGGTTTCGTACAAAGATTTTCCACTGACTTTGTTTTCATGGGGTCACTTTGATCTATGAATCCAATAGGGAATTGGCTTACCAGTAGATGAAGCACTCATCTTTTGGAGAAAAGCTTTTTGTAATGTTTCTGATGACAAGTTTCGTAAAGATTACCGATACGGTATTCGACATAACTATGGTCTAGAAGGAAGTCGAAAAAATTACCAACCGATGCCATGTACAACCATCATCAAAAACGGAGCAGGTCCATCCGATTCACATGGTTGTCCATTCAAACAATTCACTCCAATTAATTTAACTCAATTCTTAACTCAATCTTATGGTCTGAATTCAAATTCAAATGAAATCAAAGATATTTTAAATTGGAATAAATCTTCTCTTTATCATTTATCTTGTACTTGTGTTTTTGAAGTTCATCATAAGAAATATGGGGTCAAAAAAGGTCAAGGTGTGGGTCAAAGTGAAAGCGTTTCTCATCCAAATCGGTTAGTAATTTTCTTTTATACTTGTTCTGATTTATCAATCTTTTGAGCGGAAACATTGGTATATAAGAACTGACGATTTATCTTCCTTTTCGATCTTTGGTAGATATTTTGAAGCTAGTCATAAGCTCAGTCACCCTACAGAAGAAGGAACCGTTAAGCCTACTTGATAACTGGCAAGAAAAAGTTTCATGTTTGTATTTATCTCTACTTTACCTCCTTATTTATAAGTTTTTGTATACCTACCTTTTGATCGTGATGATTGATAGTAATCTAGATGGAAGTTTGTATGTACCAAATCACTCTTTATTTGATAGTTGCTGTCAGTACTGCGCCGTTTCACAGAATCAGCATGTCACATCACGATATCGCACTCGACTTGGGACACAGCCTCCGAAGCCATCGAGTCGTCTCGGTGACATTGTTTACATCCATCATTGAAGGGTGTTACACATTTTTGATTCATGCCCGAAGATCCGACAATGTAAAACATAATCACTTCGTCGCTCATCCAGAACATCTAGAGATCGATATGTGAGATGCTTGAATGGATAAATTGATCACCTTTACCGAGCGAAGCCACAAATTCATACCCAAACAAGTGTTCCATGGTATATCAGAACAGTTGTTTAACTTCAAGCTCATGCTCCACGCGGTTTAGTCATTCTTCCTCATCAAAGTCGCATCAAACAGTTTGAACGGGTGCGACAAAAGCAAAAGCGCTGATACGTATGAGCGACTTCTCAACACACGCATGATGCAACATTCATGACCAGATATCAAGATACACTCAGCCTGTTACTCTATTCGATTCAGATCTCATACCGAATGCACAACCATTCCTTCACTTGGTTTTTTACTTTGATTTCACTCTTTCAAAATCTTCAATCACAATCTTTCAAGACTTCCTTGACAACAAAATAACGAAGATTGACTTCCTTGAATTTTCTCAAATCTCATACACTCACTTCATCACATCATGTTCTCTAAAACCTTTTCTTCGTCATTGGTATCTCTTTTCTACCTTCATTTTACATTCGCTCATTTTACTTTAGACTTTCCTACCACAAGAGGATTTAATGAAGACAAGGAACCATCATTCTGTGGTGGCTTGTGAGTTTTTTTTATCTCATTCATCCTTCTTTTGATTTTAACACTTACATCAATATTTTTCTTTCACTTCAAGGCCTACCAATGCTTCGGGTCGTCAACCGTTTCCTCTCTCCGGTTCTGCCCCAGTGCACATCACTTCACATCATGATAATGCTCAAGTTGCTATCATCCTCAGTGTGAAAGCTGATCCCACCAAGTTTTCAGATTTCAATAGTACTGGCAAGGTGGACTATTTGATGCCATTTTGTAAGTTAGTTCAAACTCAAAGAAAAACATTGAAATTGAGTTCATATATTGATTTTGTTCCATGATGACTCTTTTTTAGAAGCAAATACCAAGGGTCAACAAGGGTTTTGTTTTTCGGTTGATATTGGAACATTAGCCACTCAAATCAGACCTTCTCCAACCAATGGTACTCTTGCTACTTTACAAGTCATATTTAATGGAGGTGATCATCCATTATTTCAATGTTCTGATTTGATCTTGGTCAAAAATGCCAGTATTGCTAGTAATCAGACTTGCTCAAACAGTACGTATTGATTATGTACAATTTGTCAAAAACTTTTGAATGATTCACTTGACTTATCTGTACTGTTTGTTTAGATACCATGGTCACTCCTTCATCCAATTCTATCTCCACTCAAAGTTCTGATGCTAGCCAAGGTGCTAAATCAGGTGCTGCTGTTAATGCTATCAACTTTACTGTTTTTATCAGTTTGATCATCATCAGTACCTTTTCTATTGCTTTGTAGAATAAAAAGCTACCAGGAGTTATAGTTTGAAGTCAATCATGGTTTTCTTAAATGAATTGTACAGCTTGATCATCTTGAGATGTGCACATTTCCAGGTTTGTTGACAATTTTGTCAAAACAAAATACTTGACTTGAGAAAGATTGTTGAATAATTCTTGAACAAAAATTCTGAGTATCCTCTATGAAATTATAGATATTCACAGATTATAATGTACTATAACTTTCTTCAATCTTTACGCTCACTCATTTTACAATATTTTGTCCTTTTCTTTTTCTATCTTAAATTGATTTATACTTTTTCTGATCAGGATTCAGATATGATATTGTTTCCTTGATTTCACTTTCAATAGATACAAGCATGGTTAAGAAGTTTTTTGTTGATCTGACTATCAAGTCCAAATATTACAAGGTACATACATTATTCTCTCTTGTGAACTCAAAGCTCATCTACATCAATTCCAGTAACCAATAAACCCTTTATGAAAATGTTAGGAGGGTTTTGAGACATTTGACAATTCTCTCTTGATTTGCCAAGACCACAAACCAGCACAAGAGAATCTGAGGCAAAAAATGCAAGAACCAAATCTTAAGATCAAGTCACACATCCCATCAAAACACAGTGCTCACTCTTCTCTCATCAACCTCTGAAGACTTGCAAAAAGATTGTTCTGGGCCAAGCTTATAACAGACAAACCACATCCTTTAAACAAATCCTAGCCTGCAGATTGATATGACACCATATCCACACTTTAACACCTTTCTTCCATTGGACTATTTGTACGTCAAATCAAAAATAGACCTGAGAGTAGAATACCATGCACAGAGTTCACTTGCCTTGTAGCTCTGCAAACACATGACAAAGAGACTTCCCTTTTCTAAATCAAGACATCTCCCATATTGAACATCATCTGACTATAGCACAAAGCCTAAATAAGCCAAAAGATATATACATATATTATCCCAATAGAATAAATTGTGTTCTTAAAGACTGTTTTGTTTGAGGATGTCCTTGCAAAATACCTTGAATAGGTTTCAGTGGTTATTGGATACCAAGTGAAACAGTCTTGCAGTTCATCACAGAGAAGAAAAGATAGATGGAAATCATCACTACACCTGTGTATGATGAACAATCAGGATCTAACCATATTCCATGTCTATGCTTATTGATTGGCTTCAAAAGCTTGAGATTTTCAGTTTGAGACATTCAACTCTCTGTGATGTCTGAGAAAAGTCCACAACTGCATTGTTCCACCAATGTGTTCATCAGGAGTTGATTTGGCATTATCATTTGTCTGAAAAGAGATAAAGAAACAGCATGAACAGCACAAATCTGATTGTACTCTTCAAAATCAACCTTTTCCAAGCTTTAAACTTTACATGTAGTCAAATTCATGAAAGACTTCATCAAAGTTCCATTATCCAAAAGTAACAAGGAAAACACCTCACATTCAAATCCTAATGAGAAAAGATTAATTTAAGATACAAAATGGGAAAAAGATGAGTAGGGATGTAAGAGAAAAAACTGGTAGTACTTTATAATCTTTGATACGTTCAATTTGATGAATTGTTAACAGTTTCAGGTGAGTTTTTTATGTTTTAAACTTAGACTTGATATACCAACAAAAAGGTTTTGGGCATCTCAAGTCAAAAAGTTTTACAAAATTATCAACAAGCCTCAAGATGTGCACAAAACATAAGGATTAAGCTATAAATTCAAGTCAAGAAAACCATAATGGGTTTCAAAACCCCGTGCAAAGCTCCTAGTTATGTTTGTACATTCTACAAAGCAATAGCAAGGGTGTTGATGATGATCATACCGACCAAACCAGTAAAGTTGATGATGTTGACACCAGCACCAGATTTAGCGCCTTGACTGGCGTTTGAACCTCCAGCAGAGGTAGAGTTGGAGACAGGGCTTGAGGAAGTCGAGTTAGAAGTCGAGTTGGATGAAGGAGTGACGATGGTAGCTAAGAAAAAAACATGAGTAAGGAAAGGGATTGTTTGAAAGTTATTGACAAAGTGTGATTCATACGTACTGTTAGAGCAAGTCTCATTACTAGCGATACTGGCATTTTGAACCAAGATCAAATCAGAACATTGGAATAATGGGTTATCACCTCCATTGAATTCGACTTGTAGAGTAGCAAGAGTACCGTTCGCTGGAGCTGGTGAGATTTGAGCGGCTAATGCTCCAACATCAACCGAGAAACAAAATCCTTGTTGACCCTTGATATTGGCTTTGAAAAGATCGATCCATAGAGCGAATCAATTTACAAGATCAACTTCAACGACCTCCTATGACTTTGAAATGACTTACCGAATGGCATCAAATAGCTAACTTTCCCAGTATTATTGAAATCAGCAAACTTGGTTGGATCGGGTTGTACACTGAGGATGATGGCTACCTGAGCATTATCGTGATGCGAAGTGATGCGGACTGGGGCAGCACCAGAGAGAGGAAATGGTTGACGACCCGAAGCATTGGTAGGGCTAGTCAAAGAAAATCGTTAAGTGTTAAAGTCGAAAGTTGATGAAAGAAATTGAATGAAAAACGGTCAAGTACTCACAAGCCACCGCAGAACGATGGTTCCTTGTCTTCATCAAATCCTCTAGTAGCAGGAAAGTCTAGAGTGAAATGAGCAGATGTAAGATGAAGGGAGATAAGAGCCACTAGAAGCGAAGCAAAGGCTTTAGAGAACATGATGTGATGAAGTGGTGTTTAGAAAACTTTGTGAGGTAGAATGAAGTTGATGATCGAAGTGAAGGAGAAGGGATCGATTGAAGGAAGACGTTGACTAGATGAGACTGGCTGAGGCGGTGACAAGATTAGAAGATCGATGTTTGTGACGGTGTTGTTAAGGAAATCTTGGCAAATTCAACTTCTCAACTCTCAAGCCTATAAAAGGTAGAGAGCGCGTGAGATTGTAAAACGTTGAACTGTGTATTTCTGGACATGGTTGTGTACTTTGTATGCTTCTCTTTCCTGTTCAACTTCAATTAAAGGAAGAATGCGGAATCAAGTGAACGAAAGTGTTCAAAAGTTCAAATAAAAATTGCATTTTTTCTCAACTCGTTCAAATTCTACACAAACAAGATCATTAAAGGTAACAATTGTAAACAAAAGCAAATGCTCAAAGCAGCCTCTGTTGAGAATTGTTTTCGCACTGGATCAAGAAAGAAATCACAAAAAAGTTGAATAAGATGCATGATTGGTTTTTTCCACGACTTCAAACTTCACCGTCGTCGTTTTTAAACAAAGCCACCGCGTTTGCCTCTGCGCCTCCTCTACACGTACGGCAAATGGCAACTCAACAGGATTTAACCTGATTCAACTAGGAGTTGGTAACTCGTTACACTACACCAAATGTAATCTTTACCGGGCGGTAAAGAAAACTACTGACGTAGAAAAGTCCTGAGGCAACAGGAAGCGAGCTAAAATTCTGAACAAATATGCACCTTGTTCCTAGATGTTGGGGTGTCATAATGAGTATTTTTTTGTATTTTACACGCAGATATTGGTTTATGTACTAACAATAAACGCTGAAAATCATCAAAAACTCACATGTAACAATACCTGAAATTTGGGTCATGAGTATGAAGACAATATTTTGTGGTCTAAAAACTTCAATAACTTTTGCAATTCTGCTCCAAATATCTTGATTTTTGGTTCATGCAAAAGCTGAACTATTCTCCTTCACACTTCATAATGTTAGTAAGGTGCTATCTAGTCATTTAAACACTCTACATATGTTCAAACAGTTCTGCATGAATAGCTCTGTAGGATCTTTTTTAGACCAGCTACAGATGTGATGTCTCAATGAAAAATGTAGAGGAAAGGCTCACCTTTTTAATGCACTTCAAATCGAGTGATTTGATTCAGAACTGCAAAAGTTATTGATGTTTGAAGATTCCAAAATCCTGTCTTCAAAGTCAAGGGCCAAATTTCAGGTATTGTTACAGGTGGGTTTTTGATGATTCTCAGCCTTTATTGTTAGTACATGAACCAATATCTGCGTGTAAAATACAAAAAAATACTCGTCATGACGCCCCAACATCTAGGAACAAGGTGCATATTTTTTCAGATTTTTAGCTCTCTTCCTGTTGCCTCAGGACTTTTCTATGTCAGTAGTTTTCTTTACCGCCCAGTAAAGATGACATTTTGTGTAGTGTTATTAACCAATGGGAATGTGATTCATTTGGAATGCACGGTACCTGTAAAGTTACTGACAGGTCGGACATTCTTTTTGTACTTCAGTCACTTACAAGGATGATGTCATAGGCTGTTGACCATCCTTTTTATTCATCTTCCCATCGTGTTTACATTCGTCAAAACTTCAATATCATCTTATTCGGTAAACTAGTTTAGTTCTTATATTTCGCGACTATTCACAACAAAACAGATAGGAAAGGTCGATAAAAATTTTTGATTATCCTTTTGCTAAAAAACCGTTTTTATCATTCAATTGTCTTATAAAAACCGTTCAACTTCCTTTTATTACTGTTCCACTCTAATCCATGAGTGACGATGGCAGCCATGATTTTGAAGCCGCTAGAGTGGTTTCCGCAAAGCTGGCCACCTTGGCCACCGATTATCAATCGGCCGGTGGTTCAAATGCTAAGACCATGTCCGAGGTCCGATCTTTATTTTCAACAATTGTGCCTTATTCATCCAAGAATTGGTATAAGCAGTGGTCAAAATTTGCATCTGACCTCATCGAGTTGGATAGAGAAGCGAACAGACCCATTTTCCTTAATGAAGGTCCCGTTCCTACTAACCCGGTATCATCTGACGAAGACACGGTTTACGTCTTCGACTTATCCACCAATCCAGCTTTACCGCCTGATGTCCCAGAAAGGGAAAGAAGTCGTGAAAGAAGTCGTCGACCTTCTCTGGCTAAAAGCAACCGCTCACGAGGTGGTATTCATATCCTTACCCAAGAAGAGATCGACAATGCCCAGAAGGCCAGAGATCTCCTGGACTCCCAAAATGGGCCTAGACGTTCCAGATCTCACTCTCCCTTTGTGCCTAGAACGCCAGCAGGGAAAAATAGAAGTTATAAAAGTGATGATGAAGTTGAGGATGAAGAGGAAGATGGAAAGAGACGAAAGATGCAGAAGTCATGGGAATGGGTCGATAGATGCGACACTGGCCCGTCTGCATCAGAACATCTCTCGGAAAGTGCCATCGCTTTCTCTCAAGCAGTTCGAGGTTATGCTCGCAATCTTACAAAAGCTGTCGAAGGGTTTAACAATAGGGTTAAACCAGCTGATTTTCCGTCTAATCTTTCTAAAGAATTATTACAAGGAAAGTATATTGACCTCTGAAGAATCAAAGGAGAATATATGGCGGAGAAGAGGGGTATGGCTACGAGTCTCATGGTGGCAAGTAAGGATAAAGATATTGAGCTTCAAAATAAGAAGGTATCTCAAAAACTGGACGACATCCAAGATTGGTATTATTACTTTGATATCCTTCAGCAAGCTTACCAAGAAGCCTTCCCTAAAGGCTTTAAGTATTTTCTTCAATATTCGATTTGGATCAAGCAAGAATTCATGTCGAATGGGCAAAAGGCCGATTGGACCTGCGTGGCGAACTTCGATGCGGCACTCAGGGGTCAGTTCGCAACTCGACAAGACATTTCGTTTGGTGACTGGGGGCATCAGAGCCTTGGAACACTTAGGACAAGGTATATGCACAAGGCTTTTGAAGAGAAGCCCTCGATGGGTTCAACGGGCGCTCGACCGTCTGGTGGAGGCCGTCAAAATCCTCCTTTTCAAAGCTCTAAACGAAATTTGTCTCCTCGCGCTTCGACTTCGAGATCTCAACATTCGCCGAATTATTATCAGTCAACTTACAAACATAAGGGTTTGTATGAAGTTGAAGATTCTGATCTTATCCCGGAGCGCGAGCAGTTTTGCTTTGCGCATAATTTGGGGAACTGCAAGTTGGGGAAGCCTGCCTGTCCTCGTATCCACCGATGCAATGTCACACTACAAAAAAAAAAAAGTTTTCTAACTGGATTAGGTAAATTTATTTAAGCAAAAAAGTTGACCCAGATTAGGCAAATGTGCTAAGTAGCCAATGTCTACTTCACACTATGTAATATATCAAGGCATTACCTGTTGATGAGATGAATTAAATGTGATCTGACATGTTTTCCAGAGCACTAAATTACACCTGACTTGGTGGATCTGTTCTATTTGTAATTTTGAGAAGTTTCAATCATTATTGATGGAGCAGGATTGTTTGCTGATTTTGGTTTTCATACCAGTTCCACCAGAGCAGTATTGGAATTTGACACAAGCCCGTGAGATGTGGAATTAATAGATCAACTCCAAATATATCTCACTGAACAAAACAACTCATTTACATACAAATTTTACCATTACCGGTTTACATTCAGCTTTATTTGACTGAGATTGTGACAGCTGACAAACTGTTGTTTTCCAAAATATCGACTTTAATTTATCTCCGATTCAGACATCAAATGAGCCAAGTAAGAAATGAAATACTAAGGAATACAATAAGACATGTAGACAACAAAGTGCGATGATGGATTATGCATCAGAACTCAGATGTATCAAATGGGGGATTTAGTTTTAATGTTCTTCAGAAGCCGAGGATGAACTTTCTTCAGAGTTGCTTAAGTCCTCCAAATTCTTCTCCAGCATACCATTGATTGCTTCGATTGCATGTTGAAGACCTTCTTCTGTGTGCTTCATTTGCTTCACAAGGCGTAAGACTTGCTTGTTGAGATCTTCCACTTGGTTTTTGAGGTCGCATACTGGGAAAGATGTCCGCACAAATGTATAAGGATTAATTCAACTGACGCAAAGTGTACCTGAAACAAGAATCTCACTTTGTTTTTCACGGAGTTTCTCCCTACTTTGGACTTCTTGAAAAACCTGAACACCTGATTTGATCTCATTTGCACCAGGATTTAATTTGATCGAGCTAAGTTGAATAGGCGTGATAGGCTGGATATTGGCGCCTGTTACTGTTCAAGTGTAATCAATAGGTCAAATTAATTTGTACATTAGACGCTATAAATCAACAATAAAGTCTCAACAATCTTTTGTAAGTGCATGATAGAAATGGACCGACTATGATTCTCAAGACCAAGGATATCAATTTCTTGTAAGCAGATCAAATCTTCATAATGCAAGGCTTTTTGATCCACATCCAAGTGTTTCGGTGATGGAACTTCTTCTTGTTTGACACTCGACACCTCAATATCAGTAGTTGCAATAAGTGGCTTGTCGTTCATTACTGGTACCTTCGCAATTGGAACCAAGGAATCCTGAAGGGACAACAGTTCCTTTCTCTCATCCTCATCGCTGACTTCAGAAACGCAAAGCGTGGGAAAAGTTGAGTTTGACTTTTGATCACGAGTTTTGACTGGTACATCATTGTATTCCTACAAAAATAAAGTGGGTGAGGATTAAAAAACACACACGATTGGTCAGACCAGATAAACGATGATATGTAGAGATTGTGCCACTTTACAATCTGATTTAGGACGATCGGGCTAGTGCTCCCAGTGGCGCTTGCATCTATGATACTCTCATTCTTAAAGAGGGCTCGAGGTTTCTGAATTGCACAAGATTAAAGTCGTATTCAACGATTTGTAAGAAAGTATCTCACTTCAACTCACGACTTTCTTCTTTACCAGCAAAGGAGCGTTTGTGACAGGATTTTTGTCGCCTGATGTTTCAAATTGGTCAGCCATGTGTTGGTAAGATCAACTATTGATGTTGAACAGAACTAGACTGAAACATACCAATAGACTTTGGGGTAGCTGATCGTTTCTTTGACTTGTCTTCAAAAGACAAAGAAGCGACTCGCTTCTTCTTGGGTAGCTTAAATTCACCATCTTGAGACAGCAAAGGTAGTTCAATATGTTGAAGGGAGGGATAGGCAGAGGTGGTG